CCGATTAATTAGCTCAGACAGGGTGCTAATCCTCCCTTAACCAGACTAACTTATCTTAAAGAAAAAGTAAGAAGAAAAAAACTAAACCCATATCAGAGCATCTCTTCCACCAACCCCCTGACAGATCAGAAAGCCTCACGTTAACACTAGATTAATTATTGACCCGCAAAAGAAAACAATACATAAGACAATCTAATGGTGGCTTAAACATACTTTAATTCTACCAATTCCCTTTCCCTCCAGAAGCGGTTGGTTGTACATGCACACATGGTACGACCATATTACAAAAACTGTTCCAACACATGCCAAAGTAAACGGATCAACTTAACAATTGGCAGGAAAAATCTCTTCCCCATAACCAAAAAAAAAAAAAAAAACGGAAACTAAAATATTTCCCCAATCAATTAACTACTATATATACAAATACAACACATGGTAGCAAATAAAAAATGACCATTATTATATTCCCATAAAAATAAAAACAAAATAACCAAGAACAAAGAGGCAGGGTCATTAATTCCTCCCCCAAAAAAAGGGCCATTATTTTCACGTTGTCATAATATATAAACGTCAACTCCCCTCGTTGCAAATCTACACACACTGCTCCACTCTCTCCTCTCCATCGAGATTCCCTCTCCCCCCTCTTAATCACTAATCCCACTAATTACCCTCCTCTTAATCCGCTCTTAACCACTCTTTTCCCCTTCATGTTCGTCACCATTTCCCAATCCATTATCCATCCTAATCACCTCCCGATATAGCTAATCACCATCTTATCCCTAGCACCAGCTGGAAGAAAAAAAAAAAAAAAGAAAGAAAGGGGAAAAAAAGCCATGACCGGCGGCGGCCTCCAGGAGTGGCCGGAACCGATCGTACGGGTCCAGTCCCTGTCGGAGAGCGGCCTCCACGTCATCCCCGACCGCTACGTCAAGCCGCCCCACCAGCGCCCGACGACCACCCGCCACCGTGACGCCAGCAACATCCCCATCGTCGATCTCGGTGGCGGGCAGCAGTCGGGGGAGGAAATCTGGGCCGCGTGCCGGGACTGGGGATTCTTCCAGGTGGTGGGCCACGGGGTGAGCCCAGAGCTGATGGACCGGGCCCGGGTGGCGTGGCGGGAATTCTTCCACCAGCCCATGGAGGTGAAGCAGCGGTACGCCAACTCGCCCAAGACCTACGAAGGCTACGGCAGCCGCCTCGGCGTCCAGAAGGGCGCCGTCCTCGACTGGAGCGATTACTATTTCCTGCACTACTTGCCGGCGGCGTTGAAGGACCACGACAAGTGGCCGTCCCTCCCTTCCGATGTCAGGTCCGTCTCCATTTCTCCTCCTCCCCCGGTAATTAAATTTTAATTTACTGCTCGTAGTGGGTAATTAATTAATTATTCTTTTCAGGTCTCCGTCTCTGTCTTGAATCTTGATAATGAAGTTTTTTTTTTTAATTCACCTGTAGTTTTCTATGGTGAGAAACCGAATTTATAATCCTTTTATTTTTGGGCCTCTTGTTCGATGTGTCAGATTAACGTCCTATGAATTTTTATCATCGTACCCACGAAACGGGTGGTCATAAACTTGGGGTTTTCCCCACTTTGGCTGGCTAGCTAGTTGATAAGAGGGACGGGTGAGAGAGATTGTTTGTGTTTCGAGATATAAATCGAATTTTGTACCGTAATGTTAAATGTGACGGTCTGATTGTCGATACATCATGATTTTATTACATGTATAAGTTCAGTTTGTATTATAAAGAAATTTGTACGTTGCAAACTAAACTCAGCTTGTCGTATTGTCCGTATCGTATTCATATCATATGTACGCCATTTTTCAGGAAAGTGATTGACGAGTACGGGAAGCAAGTGGTGGCGCTTTGCGGGAGACTGATGAGGATATTATCGTTAAACTTGGGATTAAACGAACGATGTCTTCAGGACGCATTTGGAGGGACAGAAATAGGGGCGTGTATGAGGGTGAATTTCTACCCGAAATGTCCGCAGCCGGACCTGACACTCGGCCTGTCGTCGCACTCCGACCCCGGCGGTCTGACCATTCTGTTGCCGGACCACCAGGTGCCGGGGCTTCAGGTTCGGAGAGGGGACGATTGGATCACGGTGAAGCCGGCGAAGCATGCCTTCATTGTCAACATCGGCGATCAAGTTCAGGTAATTAACGGGGAGTATCAAACTTGCTTAAAGCAGTTAAAATGTTTTGTTAAAAGATTTTAAAAAATAACTTAACACTTTTTGTCTCTTTCAATTTCTCCCCGTTTCTTTTACTTTCCTGCATCTGGGACCAAGGGTATCTAGAGCACGTGGGCTGGGCCACGTTTTGATATGGACAGTTTTTATCGACTGTTTAGGGAGCAACGGTGTCGTATGGAGGTTAGTTTGTTTATAATCATAGGTTTGATTGAGGGGAAAGGATGCATGAATATAAAATGTCCATCATGTTTGACACCCAGCAGACAAGTTTGGTTTGTGATTGAACTTGCTTCCAGTTAAAATTAGGTTATCCTTTCATCAAGATAAGATAATTCTTTTGGAATCTGAAAAACACATCGTCATTAATTTATCCAAATACCCGAATCTCAAGGGGATTCCTTAACAATATTGATATCAACATTTCAAACATATTTTAATCTCTCAAATTATCGAGACCAACTAGTTTTCACAAAATATTATATATGTTTGGCACAAACTTTTGAAGTGCTTTTCGCGTCCAAAAGGTTAAATCGAATCAAAGATCTCTATGAACAAGCCATTTGAGAAAGTTTAAAAGTATTTTTTTTTTATAAAATAACAGCAAATTATTTAATGATAATTTGAAACTTACATGAAGTGTTATTTCTACAATACCCTTGTTGAGTTTTAAATTATTTAATGATCATTTTATTTAATTTGAAACTTACATGAAGTGTAATTTCTAGAATACCCTTTTTGAGTTTTAAATTATTTAATGATAATTATCATAAAAATGAATACGAAAAATTTATTTACTACAAAAAAATCCAGAAATATTTATGATTAGGTTTTGTTTTTATATTTGAAATTATTTTTACTCTTTTTATATCACTTCATATATACTAGAAGATAATTTTAATAGTTTATTAGCCAAATATTCAACAATTTTTTTAACAATTCTCTACAAATTTCAGCATGAGATAGTTTCTATAAAAGTTACGACAAATTATTCTATATAAAAAATTACGAAAAAATTAATCCATTAAAACATTTGATTGAGAGGTCTTTGTATTCAAATTTTCACCATCCGAAATATTATTCATGGATTGAAGGGAGGTGATGGAAAATGATATATTTGGTGTTGTTTGTCTGTTTGCTCTCTCCTCCCCACTTTCCATCTTTGTGTTCGTCTCATAGATCACAATGCCTATAGCAGTACTACGTACGTTTTCAGCTTCATATCATCTCGAAGTGGCATGATGTGGACTTTACCTTCACTACATTACTAAATAGTTTGGTCCACAATGTTTGTTCGCCACTACTTTTCTAATAGAGAAAGTGGGGAAAAGAACAGTTTGTCTTATATTTTTTTAGCATGTGGGGAAACTGTTTTCTAGATAGTTATAATAATAATTATATTCAAAATTATTAGAAAGCAATATTACTTCTTGCTAAAATCATCATTGATGCACTAACTTTGACTTGTCAAGCCATTATGGTTGTGTGTTGTAATCTTGAAACACTTTCAATCAGTTCTTGGATATTAGAGACTATATGCTCTCACAAGTTGCAATAATTACAAATCATTTTATAAAATGCTAAGAGTGAAAGTACTAAAATGTTACAAAAAGGTGAGGTACTAAAACCTAACTTGTGAAGCAACTTTTTTATCCACCCGAAAGTTGAATTAAACGAACAGAAAAAAAACTAAAGGCGTTCAATTGTAATTTACAAAAATCCATTAATCCAACGCTTTAACCCAATTAGGCAATTATCAGCGAGGTTTGATCCTTATGAATGGACTAAATGAATTTGGGTATGTGAATATTTAATGAATGGGTTCGATTATAAATGGTGGATTTGGATTGTCATTTACCTATTTCATTAGTTACAATAGGATTTTTCCGTATATTATGGTTGTTAATTGAGTATATTTTTTTTTTAACGGTGGTTAGGTGTTGAGCAATGCAATCTACAGGAGCGTCGAGCACAGAGTGATAGTGAACTCCGCAAAGGAAAGAGTGTCACTAGCTTTCTTCTACAACCCAAAGAGTGATATTCCGATCCAACCGGTTAGTGAACTTGTAACCAAAGAGAGGCCTTCCTTGTACCCACCCATGACTTTTGACCAGTACCGGTTATACATAAGAACCAAGGGTCCATGTGGCAAGTCCCAAGTGGAGGCTTTGAAATCCCCGCGCTGAAATTTTATACATATGGTTGAAGCTCATTTGAGTTCATTTCATGGTGGTCAATCCGGTTCGGTTGTCGAATTCGAGATAGCACCTAGTTTATGGGTCCAAATGTGTAAAAGTAGAACCGTCATTTTCTTTGATTAGTAGTTTTAAGTGTACATCTTAAGTGAGGAAATAAGACACTTCATTGCAAAAAATATGCCAAAATTCGTTGCAATCTAAAAGAGTTTGGCTGCTCGTATAGATATTATACGAGAAGTTGAGATTGTCAGTTTGATTTTTTTTCGGTTTAAATCAACCTGATAAAAACACACTTGTTGATTTTTTATATCGATCCCAAAGCATTTGTTACAAATCGATTTTCATTGAGCCGAAAATTCAATAAGAAAATGACCACCGCGATCCCATACGTGACCCATACCAAATCAATCGCTTTGAGCTATACGTGTAGCTTTGTCTATCAAGAATACTGCATCTGCTCTCTTTAATGTTGAACTCAGGACAAGATTTATTGCTGGACTTAGTCCTTAGACCCGCAACAGTTGGGCTGGCCCACGAACAAAAAGAAATGTTTCGTTAAATCTTGTTGGACTTGGACCTGCAAGCCCATCATTCGTTCAATTCTCCGTCCCCGCATTTCTAAGGATATCAAAGGCCGGGATCCAGGGCAACGGCCGACGGGAACTGCAACCTGCAAAAGACGCCGGCTGCCGGAGAGAAAGATGCAGAAGAAGGCACTGATATTCGACGGCGAGGTCCTACTGAGGCGGCTACCTAAGCAAGAAACAAGACCTGTTCTGTGTCTGTCCCCAATTTCTGACGGAACTTCCTTCCCTCTCTATGTTTTCCTCCCATTGTGAGGGTCGTTTGATTCCTGTCTCCGGCGTCCGTCTCGCTCTTTCTCCAACTCTTCGCCGTTTTGAAGTCTGTAACAACCTGATTTCGTCTTCGCTTCTCGTCTCCGCGATTTCCAGGCGGTAATTAGTTTCTTCTACTTCTCGAGTAAATTAGGAGTTTCTGTCTAATACGGCCAATCGCATACGCCATTGTAGGTCTAACAGTCCCAAATTCCTATTGCTATCTCGTTGTAGTAACTTCATTGTTTGGTTTAAGGATTAATCTGGAGCCGGCCTCCAGATTCGATGTTGCTCTAATACTCAAAACTTCACTATCAGGCAGGCGGGCGCCTAATTGTGACATGCGGAATCTGCCAAATCCTAGGATGATTAATCTTCCCATTCCTGGTTTGATTTTCCCTCTTGGAGGATTCTGATTAGATTTTTATTTGAATCATTAATTTGCAAGCTGACTCATAGGTACATAGTAAATGGGAAGGCGGCAGCTTTGCTTGAATGAGAGGTTCTGAGTAAAGGGTAGTCTTTTTCATTTTCTCGTCTTCTACTTTCCCCACAGAGCCATTTTCTTCTGTTCGCTTTAATTTAGGCACTATTAGTGTTCGTGAAATGCATTTTGTTTGATTCGTTTGTTGACGAGTTTGAGCTTCATTGTTTTCGAAATGGAGATATTGCATCTACCAGTTGTTACTTTCAACCTGTGCATGCTTTGCATCGGTCTATGCTCAACAATTTATGTTTCAGGTGTTGAAGGTGTCAGCAATGTGACTGATCGACTCGCATTGCTCGACTTGAAGGCTGGTTTGATAGATGGGCCATATGGAACCTTGAGCTTATGGAATGACTCCATTCATTTTTGTCAATGGCCTGGAGTTGTGTGTGGGAGTGGGGATCAGAGGGTCACTGCTCTGAGGCTGGACGGTCTTGCTTTGGGTGGCTCCATTTCTCCTTCCATTGGGAACCTGACATACCTCTCAGAAATTCAACTTGCCAGCAACAGCTTGAAAGGTACACTTCCCAAAGAGATTGGTCAGCTTTCCAGGATGCAGGTTTTCAATCTGACCAAAAATTCTCTCACTGGTGAAATTCCTGCCGAGCTGACAAATTGCTCCAATCTCGAAAGCATCTCGTTATCGGACAATAATTTTGTGGGTGACTTTCCATCCTGGTTTGGGTATCTCTCCAAGCTCACTCACTTAGAAATAAATAAAAACAATATAACTGGAGTTATACCACAATGCATTGGGAATCTCTCTTCTCTTGTGGTTCTGTCGGTTTCGAGGAACAATATTATGGGCAGCATTCCAGACCTTGGTGGACTTAAGGATCTGTCTACTCTTTCTTTATCCCAAAATCGGCTCTCTGGAACACTGCCATCATCCATTTGTAATCTGTCTTCTCTTGAGTTACTTTCTGTTGCGGACAACATCTTATCTGGACAACTTTTACCCAACATGGGTCTGTGTTTTCCTAAACTCTGGTGGTTATCTGTAGGGATCTGTCAGTTTTCCGGAGAACTACCTTCTACTCTCGGCAACATGTCAAGTCTGGAGGTTCTTGATGCTGGTACAAATTATCTGACTGGTCGAGTGCCTGATAACTTGGGAGTGCTCAAAAATCTGAACTGGCTCAGTGTTGAAGATAATAGGTTGGGTGGTACCTCTGGAGATGACTTCAGTTTCTTAGGCTCTTTCATGAATGCTACCAAACTTGAAGTTTTGAGTTTGGCAGGTAATGGGTTTAGAGGTGTGTTTCCTAGTTCCATAGTCAATCTTTCAAGCATTACATGGCTTACTCTTGGGAGTAATGGTATATACGGTGAAATCCCAGAATCAATTGGTAACCTTGTCAACTTGACTATTTTTGCTGTCGAGAATAATTCTCTCACTGGTCGAATCCCCAGTTCAATTTGCACTCTTGAGAACTTGGGTCAACTGGGTTTACAATTTAACCAGTTATCAGGTTCTGTACCATCCTGTCTTGGTAACCTGAAGCTTCTGTTCCTTGTAAATCTGGGCCACAACAATTTTTCAGGAGAAATTCCTCTCTCCTTGGCCAACTGTTCGTCGATGCAGCACCTCTTCTTTGCTAGTAATCAGCTTAGTGGCAGGATACCAGCTAATTTATTGGGTCAACTGCCCCAATTGATCTCAGTCCGACTGGATCAAAATTCCTTGACTGGCTCCTTCCCTCCCGATGTGGGGAGCTTGAAACACTTGATGACTTTGATTGCAAGTAACAACAAGTTGAGTGGTGCTATTCCAGAAACACTTGGAAACTGCCTGAATTTGGAGTACGTTGACTTGTCAGGAAACTATTTCCATGGAAGCTTACCTACATCTCTCAGCAACTTGAAAGGAATCCGGTTTCTAAACCTCTCTCGCAACAATTTGTCAAGCAGCATTCCGGAAGAACTACAGGGGCTTCAGTTCATGGAGCACTTGAATCTGTCATTCAACCAGCTAGAGGGCCAAGTTCCAAGGAAAGGAGTTTTTGCAAATGCCAAGACAGTTTCAGTTGCAGGAAACAAAGGACTTTGTGGTGGCATCCCATTATTTAATCTTCCAGTGTGTGCTAGTAGAAACACAAGGGTGGCGAAGAAGCTCAAACTTCCCCTGAAATGGATTGTAGCTGTAACAGTAAGTTGCAGCCTCTGTGTAGTGTTGATCACTATTATTTATATTGTTTTCAGTTGCGAGAGGAGGAAAAATCAGAACGTGGATTTGTCTCAACCTTTTGGGGCAAACAAGTTTCTAATGGTGTCTTATAAAGAACTGTTTGATGCCACTGATGGGTTTGCCCACTGTAACTTGATAGGCACGGGCCAGTTTGGTTGTGTGTATAGAGGATTTCTCAGTGAAGATGAAAGACCAGTTGCTGTAAAAGTAATGAACCTTCAGAAGCATGGAGCGTCAAGCAGTTTTACAGCTGAATGTGAGGCTTTAAGAACGGTTAGACACAGGAATCTTGTCAAGATAATAACTGCTTGTTCAAGCATGGACAACAATGGTAACAATTTCAAAGCGTTTGTGCTTCAGTTGATGCCTAATGGGAGCTTGGAGAGTTGGTTGCATAATCGGTTGCATGAAAAAGGGGATGATGGTGAGTCGGGATATCTGAATCTTTCCCGAAGGTTGGACATAGCACTTGATGTGGCCCATGCATTGGAGTACCTTCACCGTGATTGTGAGACTCCCATTGTTCATTGTGACCTCAAGCCTAGCAATGTTCTTCTTGATGATGACTTGGTTGCTCATGTTAGTGACTTTGGCTTGGCCAAACTCTTTGCCAGGAGTGGTGGTACAGTTCCCATATCGTCATCAGTTGTTAGGGGAACCATTGGTTATGTTGCTCCAGGTATGAATCTTTTCAATTGTACTTTTTGTGTACTGGTACATTAGAGCAAATGATTATAGGTTGTATTTGTTTCAGCCTGAAAAGTCTTTGCTTATAAACTGGGAAAAAATACTTCATCAATCTGACTATTTAAAGCAGTTATTCATGATGGACACCACAAATTGTTAAAATCTAAAGGCAGCTTACGAAAAGAAATTCATTTCCGTCTTGTTCTCTTAAAAAAAGGATCTTATAGACTATGGGTTTAGCCCAGAGCAAGCTGCACTATCATGTAATAAGTAATTTATGAACCCAGATCGATAATAAATAAAAGCCGGAGTCCTGTTTTCCACTAGAAAAACAAAATAATCCATCTAACTGCCATCAATCACCTTTTGACTACTAAAAGTATCTTATAGCTCATCAACTAAAAAATTTCTGAACCGTGACCAAACACAAATTTTCTTCACTTCTACTGCATTGTATAAAAAGCTACTTTGCATTTAGCAAAATCTAGAACAAAGAAACCATACAGTTGTACATAGCTTAATTTCTCCTAAAATTACACTAACTTGGACACTAATCTCTATTCAGAGTACGGATTGGGCTGCTCTGTTTCCCCAGAAGGAGATATCTACAGTTATGGGATTCTTTTGTTGGAGATGATTACAGGGAAGAAGCCGACAGATGAAATGTTCATCGCCGGTATCAGCCTTCACAATTATTGCAAGATGGCATTGCCTGATGATATCCAGGGCATCTCAGATCCATCATTGTTTGAAGAATCTTATGAAGAGAGGCATATGAAGGAGTATAGATTGAGGTGTTTGGTTTCTCTGGTTCAGGTAGGAGTTAAGTGTTCTGCTGAGTTGCCAGGTGACCGGATGAAAGTTGCTGATGTGGTCATAGAACTTGGTGGCATCAAAGCCAGGATTGCATCATCAAAACCTCGATCAAAATCATACAAATCCATGTTTCACAGTGAGCCTAATGAAGAGATTCTGGAAATTGCCTGCTGATTCTGTACATCATACTGTAGCTTTGCTGTTTTTCTCCCGTCATATGCAAGAAAGTTGGAAAACAAGACATGAATGCTGTGGATTTCCCCTTTGTTTCCCGGCTCTCTACTCGCTGGCGGTAATTTCTTAGCTACTTTCGCCTTTATATTCGGTTTTAACTGTGGCTTAGCTGACCAACAAAACAAAGGGAAAGCAAGTACAGAAATATATAACGATATAGGTCACGTTATAGTATTTTCTATTCCACTTAATTGGAAGCAATATAATCAATGCACACTGAGCTAGGAGCAACACTTGTTCAACCCAGATTCTCACTGCTACTTAAATTTCATGCCTGGTTCAGCACTTACACATATCTCTGTTGTTCTTTCGTTCCTTGATGTACCTCAACCTTCAAAACAGGAGTTCAATCTTCTCTATGTTTGTTCAGGGTTTAAACTTGGCCACCTGCCCTTATTCCATATCAATTCTGGTATGGTGGTCTCAATCGTATCAATGTTCTTTTGGATGCTGACACGACCGATCGCTTTTGCGGCTTTGGCTCTAGGCATAAGTTTTTTCTGCATTTACTTTATTGATATTCTTTGATCCAAATCAATTCCCTTTAAGCTATAATTGATCCGTGTTTTTTTCCCCCTCCAATTTATGAAAGGGGAAGCACTTCTTCTGCCGTTTCTTTCATCTGTATTTAGGGCACTAGATTAAGACGGTTATATACCTCTGTTCAGGCATGGTAATAATTGAAGTACATAATAGCTAGATTAAGTTTAATTTACTACTGTTTTAGCTGTTTTTCCTAGCCGATTCCGTAATTTGGTAGATTAGACATTGAGGTTCTCTTCGAGCTCGACCGTGGCTGCAGGTTGTATATAGAAGACTAGTAAAGGCAGATGCTGCTGGTTACTGGTAGATTGACTAGGCCAAAATATCAGTAGGAATTCAAGAATGGAATAACTGTTAAGGAATGTGGTCAGAAGGCCTTTTAGAGAGAAGAATCAGATTGTGACGCTGGTTAACGTAACTAAGCTATATGTTGAACTTAAAGTACCAGTTTAAGGTCCTAATTACAACTGATGGTAACATCAAGACAATCATTCAGCTACATACAGGGACCTGCTTTTGCGCTTTCACCCTCGGGCAAGGCCGATCCAACAAGTTTGTTCCTCACAGATACAAGCTTTAATGCAGCTTCCCTAATACCGAGTCTCTCTTGTGGAATATCTGATGAACAAGCAAGACCAACTTCAAATATGGATATCAGAAGCTCCTCAGATTTTTCGCTCTTTGGAATGTACTCTGAGCTGCTGGTGCTGGCATGGCTCGTCACTCCAAGAAGTAGTTCATCAAATAAAGCTTGATCCACTACCTTTGCTGCTGACTTTTCTAGTAAAGCAAATTGGACGAAGTTATGGAGGTTCAAGCCTGCTCCCAAACTCTCATCAGTTGGCCTCCTTCCAGTGAACATCTCAAGCAGGAGGATGCCGTAGCTATACACATCACCTTGTATTGACACTAAATTTCCCATACCATATTCTGCAGTTATAATAAGGAAAAAATCAGAGAAGGTTGCAATGATGTGAGGCAATGTTGTTTGTTGTTTTGGAGATGAATATGAAATGAGAAATTGCTATCAGGTACCAGGGAAATCAGAAATGTTTACCTGGAGGAGCATAGCCAACAGTTCCCCTCACTCCAACCGAGCTAGTCCGCCCTTCAAAGGAGCGTTTGTCAAGTGATGAAAGGAATCTTGCTAGCCCGAAATCACCCACATGTCCTGTCATGTCATCATCAAGAAGAACATTGCTCGGCTTGAGATCGCAATGAACTATGGGCGTTTGGCATTGGTGTTGGAGATAATCAAGTGCTGAAGCTACATCGATCGCGACGTTTAGTCTCTGGAGGAAATCCAAGCTTCTTGGAAGGTGGCCAGTTCTCTGCACTGGATGATGGAGCCATTCTTCTAGGCTACCATTAGCAAAGAACTCATATATGAGAGCTTTGAAATCATTCCCATGATAATCCACGCTTGAGCAGGCTGTTACTATCTTCACCAAATTCCTGTGTCTGATATTTCTCAGAGCTTCACATTCTGCAATGAAACTCTTAGAAGCTCCCCGGCGCTCAAGCTTGAACACTTTTATAGCAACAGTTGCTCCATTTTCATCCATGACTCCCTTGTATACAGAACCAAAGCTTCCTATGCCAATCAAGTTTGCCGAGGAAAAGCCATTTGTTGCTTTGTGGAGCCTTTGATAAGATGGTTGCAAGGGTGGATCACTTGTGGAAGAATCTACATGCTCTTTTCTTCTCTTCCTCATTAGACAAAGAAGCAAGCAAGTTGCCGTGAAGGACACAAAAAGAAGACTAGAGATTGTTGATATGAGAATCTTCCATTTACGGCTCAATCTCCTTCCCGGCTGGTTAAATTGGCATGCTGGAAGATGAAGTTCAGCAATACCCCCACAAAGCTTGTTGTTCCCTGTAATTGAAACCACACTGGCACTCTTGAAAACTCCGCCTTCTGGCACTTGACCCTCAAAATTGTTACTGGACATGTTTAGAAGTTGGAGCTGGGTGAAGTCCTCCAAAAATTTTGGAATTTGCCCAGATAAGTTGTTCCCTGATATATCTAATATCCGAACACCTCTGACCGAACTTAAAGAAGAAGGGATAGCCCCCTGCATGAGATTGTTTTGCAAGTTCAGCAACTCCAGTCTGACACAACTGCCTAGACTACCTGGTATGTTGCCTGATAACATGTTATGAGATAGATCCAAAGTTTCTAAGTTGGTGAGGCTTCCCACTTCATAGGGAAGGATGCCAGTAAACTGATTATGAGACAAGTTTAAGAGAAGTGACAAGGAAGAAAGACGCATGATTTGTGGGGGGATGACACCACTAAGATTGTTGTCGGAAAGGTCCAAAGCTATTAAATCTTTGCAATTTTCAATAGCTGCAGGAATTTCTCCCTGTAGCTGGTTTCTTGCCAACCTCAGTCTATTTAATCTGGTCAGGTTTCCAATAGACTGCGGAACAGATCCCGAGATGCTATTGCTAGCTAAATCCAACCACTCTAAAGTTCGAATGTTCCAGATGGCGGAAGGAATTGTACCTGAGAGATTGTTATAAGATGCCTCGAACCTCTGCAAGCTGACAAGGTTTTGTATTCCACTTGGAAGGTTTCCTGATATTTTGTTGGCACTGAGGGTAAGGATCTTAAGACTAGTTGACAAGTTGCCAATATGCTCCAGCAAGCTACCTCCAAAGTTGTTGCCGGCAATGGACATGAGTTCCAAATTTTTGGCATTGGTCAAAGAAGAGAAGAAGCTCAAATCATTAGCCTCCCCACCTCCAAGAGAGTTGTTGTAGATGAGAAGGCGCATAAGGTTGCGAGAGCTTGCCATACTAGGCATGCTCCCTGTAAAATTGTTGACTTGCAGTTGAAGGAAAACCAAATTGGATGCATTTGATAAGGAAGCTGGAACGGTGCCAGTGAAATGGTTAAAAGCCACATCTAAGCTTCTCAGATTTGGAAGCGATATTCCAAGGTTCCAGGGAAGATTGCCATGGAGTTGGTTCATTCCAACATACAGATCCGTGAGAGAAGATAAATTGAAAATGGAGTCAGGGATTTCACCGGACAAGTTGTTCATCTCCAGAGACAGAACACGAAGGCTTTTCAATCGCCCAAGAGCATCAGGTACGATTCCACTGAAGCGGTTGTTTCCTAGTACAAATCTTTGAAGAGATGACAAGTTGCCAAAAGAGGGAGGGATGCTTCCCGTTAGACCGTTGACAGGCACAATAAGCTGTTGGAGCTTTTTCAAGTTGCCAATTTGCATTGGCAACTCTCCCGCCAGCTTGTTGTTTGCTGCATGAAATACAGTGAGAGCCGAGCATCCCGAGATGGTGGATGGAATCACGCCGCTTAAAGAGTTATTGAAGACCAACAGACGCTGCATTCTGTGAAGGCGGCCAATTTCAGGCGGGATCCCATTACTGAAGCTGTTGTTGATGAGATTCAGCTCTACCAGAAAGCTGAGATTGCCAATGTGTTCCGAAATGGAGCCAGAGAGCTGCCGAGACTGCAGGTTTAGAACTGCGACTCGCTGGTGTCTTGTGGAGCAAGTAACACCATGCCACTGACACAAGTAAGTCGAATCATTCCACGAGCTCAAGACTCCCAAAGGGTCCCCAGAAATCATGGCCTTGAACTCCAGCAATGCCATGCGATCCGTCTCGTTACTCAGAATCCCTGATGTAGCAGCAATTAGGAAGAAGCTGAAGCAGCACAGCTCAAGAACCACAGCCGCGAAGACACGCGGAGATCCTGAACCCATCTTGGTACCCACGAACTCTTTTCTCAACTTTCAAACTCTTTTCCCCTCCAACAGAAGGGCTAGTGATATGATAATATGAATGGCTTGCTTCTAATCTACTTCTTATGGTGGGATCATTAAGGTTTTAAGAATGCTAGTTGTTGGTCGAGTTGGTTCTCTGTTGTCTTCTTGATTATATATTTGGAACTCGAAGCGCGGATTTAGCAGGTTTCCATGAAAGTGTTGTGGAGCTGCAAATATTAATATTTGCAGGCAGTTGACGCACAGCAGTCTTAGTTTAACTAAATTTAAGCTTAGAAACGACCTGTGTCAGCATTTATTTTAGTGACATACACATCTTTGTCATTAGAGTTGTTAAATGATCTAGGCTCGAACATGAATCGAACCGGGTGTTTGTACTAAAACATACTGAATGTAACCCGTAACAGAGGTTGTGTTAAGAGTATCAGAGAACCAGTTTCACGCCGTTATGAAACCTGGTTCGATTCAAGACAGATTAGTTCTTCTGTTCTGTTTGGGGTTGAATCAAGTACAGGTATCAATTCAACAGCATGGTTAATGATATTAGGTAGGAATGTATTAGTAATTTACTGTCCAATTATGTGCAGTCATTAGGAGTGGAATCAACTTGGAAATGAGTATGGAACGACTTAATTGTTAATTGTCTGGAGATTTGGGACAGCAGTCCTCCAAAGTCTCCACCGCCAGAATTAATAATTTAGCTTATGCAACTTGCATTTGAATATCTACGCATAAAATACAAAGAGATGTTAGATAAGTTGAACTCCATTTCTACCTAAAGCTCATAATTCAGCATGACGATGAAATTTCTAACCCTATCATGAAAACAGTTGTGCTTAATTTTCTTAATCATAATTTAAACTGACTTTCCCTTTTTTGTCATTTACTTGCAGAGACTATGATCCCAATCAGCATGAAATGGCCACGTTGGCTGTTGGGTTTGCCAAATTGTTGACTAGACTCGGGTAAGTTACTTATTTGGTCACAAAGCACACCTACAAATATCAGTTTTGGATACTAAAACCGTCTTTGAGACATCTAAAGTAATATCGAAATCATTACGTTACCATATTAGCCATAAGCAAATGGACGAACATACAACTTAGAGTGAAACGAGACATGAGCAAAGACACAGGAAAACATAAATAGTTTGCATACTTTGCCATTTGCATTTCACAACATCAAGATCTAAAACCAGTAGAATATCGGCGAACTGCAGGATCGTTCTGAAACTTGCACATGTCCTCAACACTCAGACTCACCCACGCTTCAATCCCTTCCCCATCCTTGCCGTCGATGAGCAGCGCGACGTTATCCATCATGTTGAAGTACCCCACCCACGCCGGTTTCCCCCATCCGAAATCCGTCTCGTAGAACGGGAACCTGCACCAGCTGCTGAATCCGATCGCATTCTTCCTCCAATGCTCCTCCACAAACCGTCTAACTAGATCCGAATACACTACCGCACAATCGCCTATAATAGGACCTTCCTCGACCTTTCTTCCGAACACCTTTCTCATGTTCTCGTCATTCACCATCGCCACAGACTCCCTCAGCTTCGCAGCCAGCTGAGCACGCACCTCGTTCTCTTCTTCTTCTTCTTCTTCTTCTTCTGCTACTCTTTTTGTATTCATGTAACTTATTGGCCACTTCACAGACATTGGCAGTGGCACGAGGTTCCCCATTGCTTGGTCTGGCAGAGGAGGGATCATCCTCGGCCGCACATTCACCAACATGCCCGCGTGGTGATGGTGATGCTGCTCGTTCTTCTTGTCCCGGGCGATGGCTATCACCGCCGCCCAGATCAGGGCCGACACTGCCTCTACCCGACTTGGGCGTTGCTGCTGCTGCTGCTGCCAACAGCTCTGAATCCCACTTCTCAGAGCAGCAATTTGGGAGCCTTCAAATAGAAACCTTTTGATCTTTGTGTCTGGAGGAGGAGTGGTAGTAGTAGTGCTCGAGCTGGCGACCGTCGGGGTTGCATTGATCGTGATGGGCGGAAAGATGGAAGAGCAGTCCACGACGACTGATCAAACATGCGCACGAGGTTTCATATCTAAAAATTAAATATAGTTAATACGTAATTCTCCAAAATTTGTCAAAATCTTACCTGGCTCAACCACGGACCCCGCTCAAGAGGTGTGGATGGTGCTCCACGCTCGAAGGAAACAAGCCAGAGTGCAGGCATCGGCCACACCATGCCACACGCATACGCCAATCGCCACACCCCCGCACTCAAACAAGTTGAGTTGCACGGCCAAAAGGACAAGCCTACCCTCCGAGTCGACCCGCCTCCCTCGAGGCAGGCAAGGGAGCAAGGCCAGCAACCTGTCCTCGTCGGGCCGCTGAAGAGCGCCCGACATGTCTCCTCCGTCTACCACGTAAGCTTCCACGAACTCGACGCCCTCGTCGTTGCACTCGATGGTGGAGGCGTCCCTGTAACGCCCAGCCAGCGGGTAGTACAAGCTTAGGGTTTTCGAGAGAGAGCTTTTCAGTGCATCGGCAAGAACATTGTTGTCACCGCAATGTGTTCGAGATGTGCCTCTCCCTTGGGATGGGTAGAAGAGGCAGATCGGGACGTAGACGCTAGGTGTCTTCTGGTCCAGAACGGTGAGGTTGTGGAGTTTCAGGTGAGCGGGCGTGGAAGGAAGTGGTTTGATTGTTTCTCGGGTTCTAATCTCAACTTTTAGAGCCATGTCTAGTGCTGTTGGAAATATTGGGGTGGTTGTACATTTGATTTATATATTGGTTGGTGTAAGGGTGCGACGTACCAAGGTTTTTTGTAGGATATGACCGGCCTTGGCTAAAGAAAAATATACCGACAGATGAAGCACGTAACTAATACTAGCAACTAAATGTGGGATCAAAGAACAGGTCAAAGATACCTGTCGCCGGACAAAGTGTTTCTGGGTTTCTTCCTTCCTTAGGCTTTGGCTTTGGCTTGTTCGGTCCTTTTTGTTCATCTACATATTGTTAGCGTCGCCAAACTATGTGGCTGGCTGGCAAAAATGACCTTTAATTAAGCATCAGCCTCAGCCAAATTCCTGGGTCGGATTCCTAATATGGGCTTAGAATTTGCCTTCCCCGTTGGATTTCGGAGAAGGATGTTTGGGCTTGAAATCATGAGCCCATGTTGCCCATCGGAAATTATGCTTCTAGGTCGATGAGATGCCAAGTACATGATTTTACTACAAGCTAAGTCTACAACCTAACAACCATACTAGAACTCATACAACTCAAGGTTGCACAACAAAGCAAGTTATTCACCTGCTTTCTGCAGTTGAGAAGGTTCCATAAGAAGAAACTTCCTTACAGAAACAAGCCTTGCTAATACTTCACTCATACTAATCCTCTCATGTGGCGAATCTGAAGAACAAGTGACACCGATTTTGAGAATGGAGACGAGAGACTCCTCAGGTATCAGGTTGTTGCTGCTGCTGGTTTCCTCCGAGCTGCTAATGCTGCTGCTGGCACTGCAATGGGTCGCTTGATCAAGAAGTAACTCGTTCAGCAGAGTCGGATCGACAACTTCAGTTGTCGACCCTTCGAATAAGGCATGCTTGACGAAACCATGAAGGTTCGCGCCTTCTTTAAAACTCTCTTCGGTTGGCCTTCTTCCGGTAAACATCTCGAGCAGGAGGATCCCGTAGCTGTACACATCACCTTGTATCGAAACTTCATTTCCCATACCATATTCTGCAATTGTACAACATAAGAACATTAGGGAAAGAATTAGGAAAAGGAGAAATGAATAATGAATTTGTATCTCAAATGCACTTACCAGGAGGAGCATAACCAACAGTTCCCTTTATGCCAAGGGTGCTTGATCCCTGGCCAGTTGAAGAAGTATCTGCAGTAGTAAACTGAAGGAATTTTGCCAACCCAAAATCACCTACCCGGCCTCCCATGTCCTCGTCGAGCAGCACGTTACTCGGCTTGAGATCACAGTGAACAATCGGCGTTCCATATTGGTGATGAAGATAATCAACTGCAGACGCCACATCAACTGCAACACTCAGCCTTTGGAGGAAGTTAAGGCTCTTTGTCTGGCCATCGATACTACGAACCGGATGCAACCACTCTTCCAAGCTGCCATTGGCCAAGAACTCATAGACAAGAGCCTTGAAATCATTTCCTCGATAATCAACACTCGAACAAACCGTCACTATCCTCACCAGATTTCTGTGCCTGATGTTCTTCAGGGCTTCACATTCCGCCTTGAAGCTCTTGGAAGCTCCTCTTCGTTCGAGGTTGAATACTTTCACAGCAATGGTGGCTCCGTTCTTGTCATCAAGAACTCCCTTGTACACAGAGCCAAAGCTTCCCACACCAACCAGATTCGCCGTCGAAAAGCCGTCCGTGGCTTTGTGAAGCCTTTGGTAAGATAACTTCACTTGCAAGTCATCGGCCGTGACTCTATCTTGCTTTCCTCTCCTTTTTATCCAAAAGATGAGCAAGCAAGAACCCATGAATGTCAAAACAAGCAGGCTGCAGATTGTTGATATAACAATCTTCAACTTATGACTCAATGCTTTACTTTGGCGACTGAAACTACAAGGTGGGAGATTGAATTCAGCCACACCACCACAGAGTTTGCTGTTACCAATAACTGAAACTACACTGTCGTTTCTTAAAACTCCATTCACTGACAATTCACCCTCAAAACTGTTGTGAGAGAGATTTAAAATCTGCAGCAAGTTCATGCCTTCGAAAAACTCAGGAATCTGGCCCGATAAGTTGTTACTTGAGATATCCAATCGTTGGATACCTCTCAGTGATCTTAGGGAAGAAGGAATGGCTCCTTGCAATTGATTTCCTTGCAAGTTAACCGACTCCAATCTCACACAGCTACCAAGACTGCTAGGAATGCTTCCTGACAAACCATTATGAGAGAGATCCAAACCACCCATGTTCTGCAGATTCCCCACTTCAACGGGAATCGAACCGGTCAGATCATTATGAGACAAGTTCAAGAAAACTGACAGAGAAGCTAGACTCATGACTTGGGTAGGAATCAAACCACTGAAATTGTTACGAGAAAGATCCAAAGTAATCAACTTTGTGCAGTTACCAATCCTAGAAGGAATCTCTCCCTGGAGATTATTCCTTGCTAGTTTCAGTTCGAGTAACTCGGTTAAGTTTCCAATCGATGATGGCACATTTCCTGTGAAGCTGTTATTACTCAAATCCAACTCCTCTAGATTCTGAAGCTTTCCAATGGTGGATGGAATGGTACCTGAGAAACCGTTGTCGAATGCCACAAGCCTCTGCAAGTTGTTAAGATTCTGAATCTCAAGTGGTAGTTCCCCAGATAGTTTATTCTCGCTGATGTAGAGAATCTGCAGTGCTGACAAGTTCCCAATATCGACCGGTAATCGACCACCAAAGTTGTTATGGTCCATGATCAAGGCCTGGAAATTGGTGGCATTGGAAAGAGAAGAAATGAAGCTCAAATCATCTTCTCCACCAGCATTGCCTAAGGAGTTGTTGTTGATGATCAAGCGAAAAAGGTTTGGAGATCTCCCCAAGCTAGGCATTCCACCTCTGAAGTCATTCCCCTGCAGCTGGAGCTGCTCGAGGTTCGAGGCGTTGGAGAATGAAACAGGTACCGTGCCAGACAAGTAATTGAGAGCAACGTCAAAGCTCTGGAGATTTGGGAGCGAGATTCCCATGTCCGAAGGAAGGCTTCCTTGTAACTGGTTGAATCCAAAGTACACATTACTGAGAGAGGAGAGATTGAAGATTGATGAAGGGATTTCGCCTGAGAAACCGTTCATAGGAAGGTACAAAATGGAGAGGTTCTTCAGTTGGCCCAGAGTGGCAGGTAACTTGCCACTCAAGAAATTGTTGCTTGCCGAGAGTACCCTGAGAGACGACATGTTCCCAAATGAAGCAGGGATGTTTCCTCTCATACTGTTGAAGCTTACTACAAAGTTCTGGAGATTGTTCAACGATCCGATCTCTCGAGGTATTTCCCCTGTCAGCCGGTTGTTGGCTGCATTGAACATTACAAGATTGGAGCAACTAGATAGCTCAGCCGGGATATCGCTCGTGAAGGAGTTGTTGAGGAGATACAGCCTCTCGAGCCTGTGGAGACGGCCGAGTTGGGGAGGAATCTCTCTGGTGAAGCTGTTATTGGAAAGGTAGAGCTCTCTCAGGAAGCTGAGATTGCCAACATGCGGCGAAATGGGGCCCGAGAGCTGCATCGATCGCAGGTCGAGTACTGTAACTCTCTGGTGCCTTGTGCTGCAGGTAACACCATTCCAACCGCAGAAATCGGACGAATCGTTCCACGAGCTCATAGCACCGAGTGGATCGGTTGATATCATGGACCTGAAATGAAGCAAAGCCTGCTGGTCTGTCTCATTTCCATTGACTCCAGAAGCTTTAGCAGCATTCAGAAGAGTGATAGTACTGGAGAAGATGAAGTATAAGTGGAATGAAAATACCAGAAATGGCCCTAAAGTTCCAGAAGACATGTTGTGAAACAAAATTGGCTAACTTTGAGAAAGGAAAATGGTTTGAATCTGTGGATGAACAATTAAAATATTATTTCTCGGACCTTATAGGGTTAGTTCTGAAACTGAAAACATGGATTCAGAATCATGAGAAGTACCCCACAGCCGCCATAGAGTGTAGGAACTTTGACTCACTGGAAGGAGAAAAGATGTGGTGGAAGGGAAGAAGCAAACTGGAAAAAGAGTTTTGTGTGCTGTTTTCTACCCTTCATTTCAAGCCCTTTCACACCTGATATTGTAGTGAGTGGCTCACAATCCTTCACCTTGTAGTGGTTGACTCGAAGCGAGCCGTCGGATTGGATTAAGTTCTGTCTTGTAGCTCAAGAAAATACCATCCTGATAATTTGCAGCTATGTCGGTAGAGGACTAGTCGGATTACTGCAGAAATTTCTGAGATATTTGCATGAACAGAACACTCTTTTTTCTACTTTACAGGCTCGACGACCAGCAGTTTTGTCTTCTTTGTTTTTTTTTTTGGTTTATCTCATCTGCACTCCATTGGCATTTCCGTGAAAGTTGAAGATATGGATCATGGTGTGGAGTCAACTTGCAGGAAGAGTCCAGGAAAGTTTCGACACTGCAGAAAGCAGAGTGTGAAGGGGTGTTTTTAGTGGAGATCTGCGTTAGTTGGGCCACCCACCTCAAATTCAAAGTCTTCGTCGACCAAATCAAAACTCTGCGCCTTTTTTCCTGTCACAGGGGAAATAATATTATTCGTTTTAGACACCAATCAAAAGTTCAGGATTTTGAATAGTTGTTACAAAAGTTTCTCAAAATATGATAATTATATAAAAAATTCTCAACTACAACTAGATCATTTGAGACACAAATAATCTATACGTTTTTTTTTTACCGTGTATAATAATCTATACATTGAAAGCAATGGAGGGGAAATCATGTTAGACTAAAGTGATCTATACATCATCGCTTTAGTCCGAAGCGATTAACATTCAAATTGTTTGTGTGTCTTAACTAAGAGCAGCCACCTTTTATTCACCGGAGTGGACGGGATTTGAGGATTTCATTTTGTCTCAGATTGAGTTAGGAAATAGGGTTCAAACGGGTAATTTATAGACAGACTCGTTCTCCGGCTTCATGTTTGTTGCGGCTAGCTGTGCTATGCGATTGATGCTCTCTTTCGAGTTTGAAGTGTTACTAAATCATGTTTAGTGAGAAAATTATTTCATTATAAATACATTTACTCATTGATATAAAAGAAAATTTGATATAAATATCCATATCATAGATAGACCGAACCTACCATTATCGTATTTGCTTTTGTATTAAAATATGAGGATTCTCGAAATTGAATTGATTTTTGCACCCTGTTAAAAAAAGGTAAAAGCATGAAGATCACAATCTTCAGAAGCAAAAAATCAAGACAGTCAACAGGCCCAAAAGAAGCAAACAACATTGAATATATGGTGAAAAAGATTACTGCTTGGACTCCACTTTTCATGAACAAAATGGAAATGAAATAAAATGAAATCTGGGTCTATAGTTCTTCTCCTCGGCCAGATTGAAGAAGTTCTCTAGCAGAAAGAAGACTTGCTGAAACGTCCTTCATGTTCATCCTATGCTGTGGAGACTGTGAGCAGCAAGCAACACCAACTTCAAGAATGGAGATCAAGGCGGCCTCCTCAACTTTCTGATTAGAACTAGTGATGCCTTTTCCCGCTTCGCCATTTTTGAAAACTCGTGGGAGCAGAACAGGATCCAGAATGTCGATCAAATTTCCATGCAGTGATCTTCTGACGAAGTCCCGAAGATTCAAACCCTCTGTGAACACATCAGTTGTTGGTCTCTTTCCGGTAAACATCTCCAGCAAGAGGATTCCGTAGCTGTATACATCTCCTTCTGTCGACACTTTACTCCCCATTCCATACTCTGGAAAAAGAAAAGACATTTTCAATGAGAAACTGAAGCTAAAGGATATATTTTCGAACTAAATATGTATATACATACCTGGAGGTGCATAGCCAACAGTTCCTCTAACTCCAATGGAGCTGGCAGAATAGCCCACAGTTCCTGAAACAAGCTTTGCCAATCCAAAGTCACCAAGGTGTCCCACCATGTCACCATCCAGAAGCACATTGCTTGGCTTCACATCACAGTGAACAATGGGCGTCTCGCAGTCATGATGCAGATACTCCAGTGCTGAAGCTACATCAATTGCCACATCCACCCTCTGAAACAACTTCAATGATCTCCCACCATCATCTTTCTCATCATTCGCAAGGTCCGTTGGATGCAGCCATTCCTCCAAATTCCCATTCTCCAAGAACTCATACACCAGTGCCTTGAACTCGTTTCTGAGATAATCAATCCCTGAACAAGCAGTCAGTATCTTCACCAGATTTCTGTGTCTGATGCTCTTCAATGCCTCGCATTCGTCCAGAAAGCTCTTGGAAGCTCCCTGCCTCGCAAGATTGAACACCTTCACGGCTATAACTGCTCCACTTTCATGGAGAATCCCCTTGTACACCGAACCAAAGCTTCCCGCACCAATCAGGTTGGCAGTGGAGAAACCATCTGTAGCTTTTGAGAGACTTTGATAGGATACCTTCCAGTGCAAGTCATCTGCAGGATTTTCTGTTTCTTGATGTTGTTGTTTCCTTCTCCTTCTTGCAAAGAGGAGGAGTAAGCTACAAGAAACCAGTAAAGCAACGAGACCAGAAGCGACGACTACTGTGATTATTATGATCTTTGATTTCCTGCTCGAGCCTTTTCTGGGTTGTTCGAAGCTGCATCTGGGGAGAAAGAGTTCTGGAATCCCCCCACAAAGCTTGTCGTTATTATTCCCAGTTACTGAAATTGCACTTGCATTTCTGAAAACACCTTCAGTTGGTACTTCACCCTGGAAACTGTTGTAAGAAAGGTTCAGAAGTTGCAGTGAGCTGAAGCTCTGAAAGAAAACTGGAACCTCACCAGACAAATTGTTCCGCGAAACATTGAATTCTCGGAGACCTTTGAGCTCGTTTAGAGATGAAGGAATGGATCCTTTCAGGAGATTGTCCTGCAAATACAAAAGCTCCATCCTGACACAACTCCCCAGGCTGCTAGGAATCTCTCCTGACAACATGTTTGAGTACAGTCCAAGACTACCCAAGTTTCTCAAATTCCCCACCTCACCAGGAATCTCACCTATCAATCTGTTGCCACCAAGATCGAGAAAATCCGATAACGACGAAATCGTCATCAGCCCTGGAGGAATCCTGCCAGTGAGATTGCTGTTAGAAAGATCCAATGTGGTCAGAGATTGGCAGTTTGATAGAACTGCAGGAATCTCTCCTTCCAAATCGTTTCTTGACAAATCAAGCACGATCAACCTGGTCAAGTTCCCGATTGAAACTGGGATCTGACCACTAAACCGATTGAACCCCAACAGCAGCCATTCTAGATTAGGAAGCTTCCCCCAGAAAGATGGAATTTTTCCTGAGAAATTGCTGTCAGAAGCTCCAAACCTCTGCAATCCAACAAGATTCTGTATCCCATCTGGAACTTCACCACTGATTTGATTATACCCCACATGAAGAATCCGAAGCATGACCGATAAATTCCCAATCACTCCTGGCAATCTCCCTCCAAAGTTGTTCTGGTCGAACCTCAATGCATCCAAACTAGTAGCATTAACCAGTGATGACAGAAACCTCAAATCACCATCATCACTACTGTTTCCCCCATTTCCCAGCGAGTTACCCGCCATGGACAAACGGAACAGAAATGGGGAGTTCCCAAAACTGGGGACTTCGCCGGTGAAGCCGTTGGTCTGTAGCTGGACGAGCTCCAGATTCGAAGCATTGGAAAACGAACCTGGAATCGAACCGGTCAGCCGGTTGGATGCAACGTCGAAACTCTGGAGATTGGGGAGAGAGATCCCCAAATTCCAGGGGAGACTTCCTGAAAACAGATTGGCTCCTAACGCCAGCAATGTCAACGACGAGAGGTTGAAGATTGAATCAGGAATTTCCCCTGAAAGCGAATTGATAGTCAAATGTAAAGTCTCCAGGCTCTTCAATTGACCTAATTCGTCTGGAATCCTCCCGGAAAAATCGTTGCTCCCTGCCCTGAACTCCCGAAGACTCGACAGATTCCCGTACGAAGGCGGAATCGCACCGGCCAGAGAGTTCCGGCGAACGGAGAAGATTCGGAGATTGGACAGTGACCCAATTTCCGGCGGGAGATTTCCTTCCAAGCGGTTGTACCCGGCGTCGAAAGCGACGAGGTTCGAGCACCGGGAGATGGATGGAGGGATTTCGCCGGAGAAGGAGTTGTTCGTGAGGTAGAGCTCCTCGAGACGGCGGAGGCGGCCGATTTCGCTGGGGATTGTTCCGGCGAGGGTGTTGTTGAAGAGATAGAGGCGGCGGAGGAAGGTTAGGTTTCCGATGTAGGGAGATAAAGTGCCGGAGAGTTGAAGGGACTGCAAGTTGAGTACAGTGACTCTCTGGTGCTTCCGGCCGCAGAGGATTCCTCGCCATTGGCAGAAGTGGGTGGAGGAATTCCAGGAAGATGTGATTTGAAGCGGGTCGCCGGTGAGACTTGCTTTGAGTTGAAGCAGTGCCAGAGCGTCGGTTTCGTTCGCTGCTTCGGAAATCAGTGTGTGGAGGAGGCCATGGAGTAGGGCAAGGTGGAAGAGAAGCAACTTCGCCTTGGGAGCCATTATTGGATGAAATGCATATTCTCTGAAAAAGCGTGTTCCATCTCCAGGAAATATAATCTGAAAATAATGGCCTTACAAAATTGGCGCCAATTGTGACTAACTAAATAAAAAACAAAGATTTTATGACAAAGGAAAATTAAAAAGAAAGATTTATTAGAATTTGTAGAATGTTGATGACATGTAACCAAATAAGCAAATGTCTCTAAGGGTGCGTTTGGATAAGTGTATTTTAAATGTAAGGTATTTGAAATACTAGCATTTGAAATGAATATATTTGAAATACATGTAATTCAAATTCATTGTTTGGATACTCATTTGTAATTTGTTTGTATTTTGTATTTTACGATTTCCAATTTGAATTTTTAAAATTTTACAAAAAGGTCCTGAAATTTTGATGGTAAAATTACATTTTGGTACCTTTATATGTTTTCCCTCACACTATAGTACCTAAACTTTTCATATTTTACAAATAGGTCCAATTTTTTGTTAGGAGGTATTTCAAATCACTAGTTGTTGAAATGTATTTGAAGTTGACAAAAAATACACTAGACATGTATTTGGAAATCACCCCATGAATTTGACACAAATCCAAATACCAAATGTAATTAATATCCAAACACATGATTTGGTATTTGGAAATCCAAATCACAAATACCAAATCCAAATCATTGTATCCAAACGCACTCTAAGAGATAAAAAAGTTCCCTTTAACATAATACACACGGTAAGCTATTGTCGTGTTTTTTTTTTTTAATAAATCATTGAATTTTTGAAATTTTTTCTTTTTCCCACCATGCTTTTCTCCTTTGTCCAGTCTTTACTTTTTATGATATGAAAAGCATTTTCTTATCTCAGTTTACCATAGAAATTACTCCCGTGAAAATAAGTGATAGTGTAAGACGAACACTCAATTGCATTAGTATCTGGTTAATAATTGTGATTAAGTGATCGAATTACTGAGTCAATCGGAACATCGAAGACCAAATATTTAGTGACCAATCCTACACCGTGTTGGCGTTTCGTGGTGGCCAAGAAACTCGTAGAAACTTGTGCACTCTAAGACAAGGTTGCATTGCTCTAGCTAGCTAGTTGCCAAATTCTTAAACCAAGAAAAAATTGGGCAGAAATCTCTTGGATCTTGACTTTTGCCATTCCACACGCACACAAATACACAACCGGTTGGTGCAGGAGAAGCGGAAGTTTGACTTTTATGTAGTTGACAATATCGACAAAATTCTTATACTAGGAAATTCAATCTAAAACCCCGATGGACACATCAATATTTAGAATAGTGTAAACGCTACATTTATCATACTCCTAGTAAATTTTGTTATTTGTACTAGAAATTAATCAAAGTTTGAAACGTAATACTATACTATAATTTCAAATAAATGAACCATAGTTTCTAATTCTCTTAAATCAGATCATAAGATTAAAATATTAAAAACTAATGATCGATGACACTAATTTGTTGATTATACATGCACATGTTATACGTACGCTAGTCCTTCACACACACACACACACATATATATATATATATATATTGGTGATTTTATTGTACCTTGGGTAATATCAAAGGTATGACATATCTTGAGTAAAAAATAATATATAGATCTTGAATTGACCGGAGTTTAACATTTGGTACAATTATCAAGCTCTTAAAGATTAAAATCTAGGTCTTAATCCTATAAATCTCATACACTAAGATCAATTTAGTTAGGAACAAAAATCGATGGTCATGATTCGTCAAAATATATGCAACAAATTACATGCATAATCTTAGGAGTTAGGCTCTATGGTATATAGAAGTAAGACCTAGGGCTCACCCGGGTTAGGGTATAGTATCATGCCCAAAAATCTGATTAATTCGAGGTCTGTATAACATTTCCCTACTCAAAGTTCGTTGTACCCTAAATTTTACCCAATATAGAATAGAAGCAATATATATTAAAAAAAGTTTGCGTCAGTTGTGACTTGTGAGTGAGGCAAGCTGATCAGCTCCCACTTCAGAAAAGAATCCTGACCTGAGTCGACATCCATTTTGTTTTGGACAAACGTTGACGGGTCGACCACTTGTTTTCTATAGGAATTTTTATCACAAGTGGAAGACTTATTAGTGTGAACGCGGAGCTTTATAATTCACAAAAAAATTACATTGTTATGGAAGATAATATATTTTTCTTGATAGTCAACGGGTGGAAAATATTTTGCTGGACGATCGACCTTACTGAAATGTATCCCGTCTAGCTCCGAAATTATTGAATAATTAATTCTGTTCATTGGCATGTGATTGTTTTAGTTCTAGCTGGTTAGAGAAAAAGATAAGGATCCGCGTATTGGAGCAGGCTCCGCTCCAACCTTAATTAATAATTATGTTTTTTTTTTGCCAAAGTAATTATGGTATTTGCACGCAGTCCCATGTTTTATTAATTTTTTTCTTTTCAACAATTAAATGCAGTCCCATGTTGCACATGTTCTCCTAGTATTTCATGCAATAAAAAAGTATCTTACGTAATGTGGTCTTTGCACATAAATATTTGAATGCTCTTGCACTCATCTCATAGTCGTCATTTCGATCAAAACAAACAATGAACCATAGTACGCCTCATTTTTACGCCATAAAGAATAACAAACCAACATCAACCGATACATTAGAAGAAAAAAAACATATAAGAAACAAGTTCATAGTTTAGCACAAAACACACACCCCCCCCCCCCCCCCCCCCCCCCCCCGGTTGCATGCAAACATTTCCAAGTAAACGTGACAAGACCACATTGGATTATTATAACACAACTTTAACAATATGATAACTCAATTCATGCGGGTTCGCGATCGCGACTATGGAGCACAGCTTTTAAAATAGCTAGCTAGACGCGCACAATGTTAGCCCGGACCCCTTCAGCTTCTGCTCCACGATGCCGTCCATGGAACCAGTTGATTAATGTCATGTTATTAGCTCATGAACTCCAACCCCAAGCTCTCATAATGCTTGGCCATGAAATGCCAAAGAGAGACGACGTCGTCCTTAGGGTCCCGACAAATGTACACGATCTTGCAGCCAGTGGAGAAGACGGAGGACGGAAGCGAAGAGTAAGGAGAGTGGGTCCCAACTAACGGCGTGTCCGGGTTGGACCGCCACGGCTCGCCCGGTCTGCGGAACCCGTCCAGCTCGATGTAATTCATGCAGTCGTGGACTCGTGGGACACTTTGGAGAGCAGAGGGTTGTCGTCGAAACGGCGCCGCCCCGCGAGGATGGAGAAGGACAGGGCCTTGAGCCACCGTGGTCCCGGGATTTGGGCGCGCTGCTGATGAGGACATCGGTGGGCCGGGCCTGGAAGTGTTCCTGGGCCGAAAGCAGGCCTTCCAGGAACGGTTTGTAGTGCCATAAGCCCTGGTAGTGGTACAGCGGCGACTGCTTCCAGTCTTCCCTGCATATGGGAACGTCGGCATCATTTCCCGGTACTTGTTCTTCTTCTTCTCGCCGTCGGCGGCGCCTGTTGCTGATGTTGGGTTGTTTGCCAATAGATCAACGGCGTCCATTGCTTTGCTTGATGATGATCGGTGGCCGCCGGTGTTAGTATCGCGAGTGGAACGGATCGGAGCAAGGATTATATAGATGGTGTACATGCAGTAGTTGGGCCGTTGGGGTCTTGGGGCCTCGATCGTGATTCTCTTTTCTTGTGTTGTTTTTCATTTCCATTGAAGCCAATATTGTTTATAAATTGCATCGATGTTGTGCACAGAAAACACTTATATTTCATTGAATTTTTAAAATTTTTATTTTTATTTTATATTATAAAATTTTCTTCGTTATTTCACATTACCTCTTATATTAAAAAAAATACTTCTAATTTTTTTTTTCTAAAGGCCATTATATCGTTTTGCAACAGAGGTATAAGGAAAGGAGGGGCCTCAATAGTCCAGAGCATTTCGGACTCCCAATTACAATAATTGTGGGCTATTTTGTGTGCCACCTCATTCCAATTCCGGCCCACAAAAGAGAATTCCACTTCTCCTATACGTTGGGCTTCTTGGCGTGCTTCTTCACAGATGTCCCCTACCTCCAACACCGATTGCATTTCCCGGCGAAGCTTCTGAACCAGAAGGAGGCAATCTGATTCAATCACTATCCGTCGATAATCGAATCGATCTGCAAGCTCTAGTCCATACAAAACCGCCATCCCTTCCGCGATCTCTGGTCTCCACTGGGTCTGCGTTCGTTGGACGGCGGCGAGGCAAAATTCCCCCCTTTGATTCCGAATCACCACGCCCAACCCTGTACCTTGCCCTTCCATGACAGCAGCATCCACATTAACCTTTAAATAACCCTGGGTCGGCGGCGTCCATTGCATGCAATCACTACAGGAAAATGCTCCTTCTATCACGGGATTTCCCGTGATGAAACAGTCATTTCCCGTAACCGAAGGAATACATCACGGTATATTCCCGTGACTAGCATGCCCGTGGTTGAATATCAATGATCACGGGAATTGCCGTGACGTCTGATATACAATAACGGGAATAATCCTGTGACAAATGATCTGCTTTGTCATGGTAATTCCCGTGACTAAGTATTTAACACGGGAACATTATCGTGACAAAAATGTAAACTAGTCACGGGATTTCCCATAACTAATTGAGTTATTTGACACGAGATTTTGACCAATAGTCACGGGAATGTGGGCACGGTGTTGAAGCTAAAGCAACGGGTTTTTTCTCAACGGTCACGGAAAACCCGTGATGTTAGTTTTTCCTAGTCACAGTAAAATCTCGTACCAGGTAGTTGCAACTAGTCACGGGAAATATCCACAAGAATATTGTGATTGATATTAGTTGAAATTAACCCGAAAGACCTGCAACAGTTATGAGATGAATTTTGGCTTCAAAAAATTAAGAAGACTTATCAATATATATCATTCACTTGTCAACGCTAGTTTACAATTAAAAAAATCTATTCTTAAAGTATTTTAGGCAAATGGAACCTATCAAATCAATCATATCACAAAATACCAAAAGCAATGCTTCAACAAAATAAGCTAGAGTACTTTGTAGGTTTCTTCAAAACAAAATTGTCATTGCACTCGACAATGTGCAAGACTGAACTACTTTTCTTATGCTTCATCTTTCTTTCAGTCGCCCACCTTGTATTGCACTTCTGAATTATAAATAAAAAATTACAAAAATTAGCTTTGTTAAACAACACTACAATAAAAATATAGCAGCTCAACAAACAACCAAGAATTGAGTTTTCTGAAACTAATTTTATAGGCAACCACACTCCAAACAAAAACACAGCATCTCAACAAACAACCAGGTATTCAGTGTTTGAAACTGATCTCAAAGGCATGCACACTCTCCAAACAACAAAACTACAGCAGCCCGCTACCCAAACAGCCAGGACTTAAGTTTTCTGAAATTAATTTCATAGACAACCACACTCAAAACAGCAAAAACACAACACCTCAACAAACAGCCAGGAGATTCAATGTTCTGAAACTGATTTCATATGCAACCCCACTCTCCAAACAGTAAAAGACCAGTAGCTAATAAAAGGATAGGAGTTAAGTGTTCTATATTTAAGATAGAATGATGGAGCGATCCTGAATCCTTAATTGGACTTTAATCACCATTATCAGAAATAAGGTAGCATATATGTTTTACACATTCATATCCCCTTTTTTACTAGTTTTATGTGCAAAATCACATGCCTCTGAAGGAAGAAGATACACTAAATACAAACAACAAAGGAGTGAATTCAATGAACAAAGGCGTTTGCAAATATCAAATTTTGATTCTTTTATTGGTAGTTTGCATGCTGTCAAAAGAGAAAGAAATAGAGACAACAAGATGATTTATCTCTATCTCTAGCGAATTCTTTGTTTTTTTCTTTTTCTTTTTCTTTCCATGTTTGTAGACTTAGCATAACCTTGACGACACATGCAGATTGCAATGAAAGAAAGGCCGGGTTGTTGACTGATTAATTAGATATTCACTTTGCTTCACTCTCTCGCTTGCTTCAGTCTCCTTCAATCACTTGACCACAAACAATCATCTATTTAGAACCTATACTAATGATCTTCACTTGCTTTACATATGCCAATTACAAGATGAAACCCTTGGATTGACCATAAGTGAGGAAGAAGATCAATTTGACTTTGTAACAGAGAACAAAAAACTGCACTTAGAACAGATAAAAAGGAAATGAGCCTTTGATCCCATAAGTGCTTCAAGGATTCAACTAAATTTACAAAGCTTCACCTAGCTTTACACGTGCAAGCTAGAAAACCATTGAATCCCATCACAAAAAATAACGCCTGTGAAAATTGCTTGTACCTTCAATTAATTTGCTAAACCCGGACTTGTTGCCGGAACCCAAGATCAAGAGTCCATGTTCTGCCTCCAAATTCCAACCACCAATAACAAAAAATCCTGCAGAACTTAGAGGTTAATTGGCAGGAATCAAAACCAAATCAAAGATTTTCATAAGGCAGAAAATGAAACTCAAAACAGGGGACCGATCTAACTGAAAGAAAGAAAGAGCCGGTTGCCAAGCAGAATCCAGTCATGGTTTCGCTTCTATCGTTAAATGAGGAAAAGTTGAGGGTGGACGGGAGAGATGATGACCCGCATAGCTGGAGATTAGTGGCTTAGTGGTGAATATATACTCTAAGCTTCCCGAGCTCCATTTGCTTTCACCGTACCAATGTCGTGTAAATCCTCCTCCTCCATCCTATTGCCGCGATGATTCAAAATCCATCTCCCCACGACCGGTATGGACTTTTTCAGTCCCTCAAAATGTTCGCCGGGCATTTGATTTTGCTGGCGAAGTGACCGATTGGGTCAAAGGAAGGAGACCATTCAAATCCTTCTCTTCGAGACTGAACAGAACTTCAAAAGTCACACAATTTGGTTGAAGGAAGGATTGAAATGGAGGAAGGAACGCCATCGATGGGAACGATTGGGTTGGAGACAAGGAGGTCGTGGATCTTTTTTGACCTAGGGATTTTGGAAAAGCGAGAACAAGAAAGGAGCTCACTTTTCTGTTTGTTTAATTTTTTTGATGATTTTGGGTCTTCATTTTTCTTTCCTTGGACCCAAAACTAGTTTCAATTTTCCAACCTTGGAGCCAAAACGAAAAGATTGGAGCCAAAAAGCATTTCTCTTTACCGCCAGGTATTTCCCTTTCAGTTGTCACGGGTAATCAACAATCAATCATTACGGGCTGATATCCCATTACTAATTAAAGCTGTCTTACTCAATTAATAATGCCAATTGTTCCCGTGACCGATAGCTATACCTTTGGTAATGGGAAAATCCCGTAATTAAAATCCCGTGATGAAAGATCAATTTTTCTGTAGTGAATGTTCCGATGACAGATAAGTATTTCTGACCTGCTGGGATTGGTATTCTGTTAACCATTCAATCGCCTGGGCAATGATCTCATTTTCTTCTTTCTTCTTATTGTTCCAGAGATGGCTATTTCGCTCATGCCAAATAAACCAGAGAGACACTACCAGCAGCTCCATCTCTTTCTCGCCATCATTCGCCTGGACTTCACAACACCATTCCTCACAGGTACTGTCTTCACCCCTTCGAAATAGGTGTTGAACTGTAGACGGTTGCCAAACTCGACGAACCCATCCGCAAAACGATATAATGGCCTTTAGTGCCCGTTAATGAAAGTTTAGCAGGGAATTTTCAAAAAAAAAAAAAACTTCTAATAATAATTTTTTTAAACAAATACTCAATTTCTTTATTTTAAAGTATTTCTCTAAAAGCGTAAAAACTACAAGAGGATCAAACTAACTAGCTTGGAGAAGATTTCAGACAGCAAGATGTGGATATCCAATTATGTGCCACGCTGTTCCAGCTGGCAAAAAAAGAATAACATGCATAAGCTAATAGGAAAATGTAATTTTAATTTTAGCGCGGAATCATTTAATTTGATCTTAAGTAATAAGTAATGATAATCATCGTCAACGACGATAAAATAAATTTTATAATGATCATGATCATCGACTTGTTTATTTTCTGGCCCTCTACTTCACGGGGACCGGGATATACTAATTCTCCACCTTGACCCTTCCGCATTGATTAAAAAACTAGCGATAATAAACGGGTGGGTGGGTATCTCAATAATCACATATTTCCCGTAATAAAGTTTGGGTGTGGTTGGGTAATACTCACTTGGTATGGGGTGAAATAGGTCGACCCACTCTTTACACATTTGAAGAAAAAAATTACACGTAAAAATTTACTTTTATGATAAAAACGAAGAAAAATGCTTTATGAATGAAAAATAGTGATAATAGAATGAGTAATTGATTTTTATTAGTTGAAACATAAAGTTTGACTAGTTAAAATAAATAAATAAATAAAAAGAATAGATATTATAAGAAATTGAGATACAATGGGCCCAGAACGGGATGGGGCGGGACAAGACGGGTGAGAAATATATATTTATGTCTCATCTCATGCTACTATGGATCAAGTAATACCCACACCATCACAGGTGGTGGTACGGGCTTTGTTGGGTTTGATCCATATGGTCCCTTACTCTTTGAGTTCAATAAGTTTTTTTGATGGAATCAAGGATCCTTTTTCTTATGGAACTTTTAGTTTTGCGTGATGCTATGAATTGGTGTCTAATTTGAGATTTTCTCTCTATCACTTTCTGCGGCGACTCACAATTGGTGGTTCGGCGAGTCATAACGGGTGAGATTAAACATGATTTGGGAGAAGCAATTCTGGAGTATGTTCGCAGGCTAGAGTTGAATTTCGACTTTTGTTTTTGTTCCTTTACTCTTCAAAACTTCAATAGAGTTGTCCATTTTATGGCCCAATAAGTTCTTTCATCGGGAGCTTGAATATTGGTCCACTATCACAGGTAGTTTAACTCCGATTATATTACTCATATGTACTATCTGATTACGTTTAAAAAGAAAAAATTAAATTGGCGAGATTTATTCCATAATATCAAGCGCATTTACAGCTACACCGAAGTTCAAGCCCAAACGTGAAAGCCCAAACATTTGGGCCCATTTAAGTTAAGAAGATAACGGTCCAAGCGTGAGTCGTGATGATAATAAGCCCTTCTCCATATGAATCATTATGATAGATTTCTTCATTGCGAAAACGAGACGCCCCTTTTCATTTTAACATCGTCAAACAGGGGAAAAAATAATCGCCCAGCACAGAATCCGATGTCCACATTTGTTGACACGTTCGACGACTCAGAAGTCACTGAGGTCGACTCGCCTGTCCACTTCGGCAACAGCAACAGCCACAGCCACGGCGGCGATGGTGGTGATTACGTAGGTTACAATTCTGAACAGTTCGACTCCTTCGCGCCTAACGATGACGCTTACGCCTCGGAGCCTGCTCCGATCTACGGCGAGGGCGGAGAGTTCGGGACGGCGGAGGAGAACGGGAGCAGCGGTTTCGATGGAGATTTTGGTGGATCCAGTGGTCCTGTTCTGCCGGCTCCATCGGAAATGGCGGAGGTCGGACTCGCTCTCAGAGAGTGGACAAGGTAAATGCTCAATTTCTTTCAATCCCTTTCACGATTCTGTTTGGTTTGTGATGAGATAGAGAATTGGCGATGAAGGAACTACGAAATTGCGAATATGCGTAGTCAATTGGCTTCCTTCTTTGGCGGATTTCATGCTTGATCGAAAGTTTGTGCCTGATCTTCAGACGGGTAGGCTAAATTTATGTGCATACCTGCTAAGATAGGGCTAAATTGCAGAGAATTCGATTGGAAATGGCGATTCAACAATGATCTTCTCCTTGCTCATTTTTTCTTTCGTTCCGTTGTTTGGGTGCACAGGGAGAACGCCTTGCGATTGGAGGAGAAGGAAAAGAAGGAAAGGGAGCTGCTAAGCAAAATAATAGAGGAGGCAGAGGATTTCAAGGTAGAGTTCCATAAGAAGAGGGAGGTTACTTGTCAGAGCAATAAAGCAATCAACAGGGAAAGGGAGAAGGTGAGATACTATTATGGTGATCTTTTCAAGTTTGATTTTTGTTATCATGATCTTGCTATGCTTGGAATGTCGTTTGTATGTTATCTTGGTTTTATTAATGAGAGATGAGTAAGTGTGGTGAAAAGTGGAAAGGTAAAAAGGTAGAACAAATCTCAGGATGTTAGGTCATCACTTGCAGTAGGGTTTGAACCTTAAATTGGAGTTTCATTAGGGGGAAATGATGGTGGAGTAAAGAGAATCAAGTTATCAGGTTAGCTATTTTGCAATGTGGCGACTAAGATGTTAGAGTAGGATCTGTTCTACATTCTGTATAGGAGCTTCATGCCATTCATCACCTGTCAGCCCTTAGTGTGCGTTATGGACATGGAAATCCATGGTTAAAAGTCCTATATTGTGATTGTTCAGCTATGCCAGCTTCAACATGCTGAACATCTTAACTGGGCAAATGGCTTGAAATTATGAAAACCCTCCAGTGATCGCCAAAACTTAAATGCTAGCATCTGTGATTTGGGTGGTTAAGATTAGCCAGATGGTTTCTAGAAAATTTCGTGATTGTCTCTAGCTGATAGTGATTTTCTGACTATCCCCAACTTGCCATGATCTTGCTGTTCCCCTGGAGCAGCTGGAGAGGGTACTTCTCAAGTTTACTCACTCTGTTTACAAAGTAGTTTGCTCTCTTTACCTGCATCTATTAAGGATTCAGCAATGTCGAATGTGCCAACGCATATAGAGGGTTCGTTCTAGATTGAACTTCTTGTGAATACTACCACAAGTTTGTTTTTTAAGCTCTGATTTGGAACGGAGTACTCGTCCTCAGTTATCAGTTATCACAGTGTGTTCAATGGAAGCATGTTATATATATGTGGGAGCTATTACTGTGTGTGTGTGTGTGTGTGTGATGGAACTTGATCACATCTCCGGACTGCTTCCTCTTATACTTTGGCCTCTGCAGCTATTTGTGACCAAGGAAGAGAAGTTTCATGTTGAGGCAGATAAGGAATACTGGAAGTCGATAGCAGATCTCATCCCTAACGAAGTGCCTGCTCTCGAGAAGAAGAAAACAAAGAAGGATCAGGAGCAGAAGCCTTCGATCATGGTGGTACAAGGTCCCAAACCAGGGAAACCAACTGAGCTCTCTAGGCTCCGCCACATACTCCTTCAACTGAAACACAACACACCACCTCACCTGAAGCTCGCTCCTCCACCACCCGCAAAGGATCCTAAAGCTAGCGATTCAGCAGCAGCCTCTACTTCTACAGCTGCCGCAGCAGAAGCCCCAAAAGCCCCCGAGCCAGTGGCCGTTGCTTGATCACTAAAACATATATGTCATCCTCTCTCGAGCCTAGTCGAAGTTTACTTTTCCCCGCAGCATTAAGAGTATAGCATGAGAATCATTTTGGAATTTGAGAGTTTCACTAGATCTTCGAATGACAGTCCCGAATATGCAAATCTGATTACATTTAGGCGGGAAAAGGCGTTGTGTCCTCGAGTCCAAGTCTGTGTTCTGGTCTTCATTGATGGATGATGATGGTTCACAAAGTCATTCATTGATCAGCTTACGTGTGGTCCCATATGTCTGGAAAGCTTTGTCTAGGGAACATGGAATCTGGATACGATGAGTAGAGCCAAGAACTTGGGGAATCAAGCAAGCTCTTACAATTTAGCGATGCAGCAGAGAAGAAAAGAGGGCTCTAGCATGGCCATGTGAGTCTGTGGTCCAGATTCCCATGACTGTGCCATCCCTTATCGTGATTTTGGAACTGTTACCTCAGTGTTTTTTCTGCACCATTGCTGGACCATAACCGTGAATAAACCATTCTCCTTTGTTGTTTCTCATGAAACCTGATTCCTGCTTCAGTCCCTTTCCAGCTTTCTCCATTGATGAAAGCCGCAACTGCCACTCAGGAGTTATGAAGCTAGATTGCTTTAATTAAATGAAGTTTCGAATCTTTGGTTCTAGACCACCGGCCAATTGATGAAGCAACACCGACCCAAGCCGTAGTCCTTACGGCTGCAGGATACTATTCTGGATTTCCTTCAGAGGTGGGAATCGAAAATGTTTCCCTAGAAATCAATGGTAGAACCTGACATGGTAACTTGGTACACTACCCCAGCACACTTGGAAGAGAAGAGGAACAACTAAAAAAGCCCTAAAATGTTTTGGTTCAACACACATACACCGTGAGGAAAACTTTGGATTGCCAAATCGAAGCATTCAACCTAATCTACTTTACATCAAATACAGAGTCTAAGACTCCGGTTAGGCATTTCTTTTCTTTTTTTTTTTTTCTACCAGGGAAATAGGATTCTCTTCCCTTCCTTGCAAACCACACCAAGATATGAATGCAAGAAAGAAGACTCGGACTAATAATACACAATATATATGATATCATTATGAACCTAGACATGAGTCAGGATGGGTGGGGGTGGTTCAGAGACGGCAGGCCAGGCTCGGAGGCTCCTCTCCACGAACAAGGATTCGTCACCTGCCTCGAATTGGAGAACGGCCATGTCTTTCGATCCCACCAATATCATCCTCCAATTCCATGGAGGAGAGACCACCGTTGTTGACACTCAGCTCAGAACTAGCATTACTGCTTGTTGCAAGAGGTGAGTCCAAAACGCTGATAGTTCTGCCACTTCGTGGAGGGCCTGATGATCTAACACTGTACATTGATGATGCTGGAATGTTAGTCATCAATGGCCGCAGATTACCTGGAATGGTTCTCCTTATATCCTGTCCAATGCAATGACAAAATGTCAGAAAGTTCCACGTAACTGCTGATTTTGCTTTACCAAGAAGAAGCAACAAAGTCCAAAGCAATGTATGGATGATGTGCAAAGTTAAACATACCATATGCCTGATGGCCATATCCAGAGACTTCTTGGACAGAGTTCTTCCAAAACCTGAGCTATCCGGTGATGAAGACTTGGCCGATAAGTTACCATGTGGAGAGTGTCTGTTGTCATCTTGTTTAGAAGGGGGAGCTAGTTTCCGCATATTTATCACCCTCTCAACCATTTTGGTCCCCATGAGGACAGGGCTCACACTGTCATTAGCTTTTGCATACAAGCGACTCCCTGCAGGAACAGATCCCCCGCTGTTGCCATTAGGGGCACGTCCTCGTGAAGGCGAGCATGACTGCCTTCTTATTCTTCCATTGGCAACCGGCTCCACAGAGGAAGATCGAGAAGCTGGTGCTCCAGGTCTGCCCCTGGAAGCTGAAGTGGGCCTATCTGATATTGAGGTCCTTAAATTTGGCGGGGCGTCTAGTGAATAGCCAGGCATGTCTGAAGGCTTCCATGGCCTGGACTTGGGTGCTGGGGAACTGCCACGTGATGACGGCACTGGATTTCTGGATAATGTAGGAACTGACTTGGTAACGACTGAAGCAGATGACGATTTGATTGGTGGTGGTGGAGCGGAGGATCTACTCCCTGGAGGTGCACTAGACGGGGTTGATGGTCTTCGAGTTGGAGTTACCGGCCTTGAAGCTGGCCTGGGTTGAGGTGGTGGTATAGAGGGTCTTGCTGTTGGTGTTGAAGATCTTGCTGTCGACCTTGTTGGTGTTGAAGATCTCGGTGTGGACCTTGTTGGTGTAGAGGATCTCGCAGGAATTGTAGGTTTGGTCGCTGAAGCAGTTGTTGATCTAGCTGGAGGAGGACCAGTTGGCTTAGCTACAGCGGAGCTCGACCTAAGAGTGGGCTTAGACGAAGGCAAGCTTGCTCGGGAGGTAGGTGTTGAAGATCTTGCAGGTTTAGATGATGTTGTCAATGTTGAGCGCCCGGTCGGCGTTCCAGGCCTTGATCCAGGTCCACTGGATGACGACGGCCTACGGATCCCAATGGTAGAAGAATTCAACCCAGGGGAGGAAGCTGATTGTCTGGATAGCAAGTTGCCACCAGCTGTGCTCTCAGGCTGGTTATTTGCTAACTACAAACAGAAGGGGGAAAAGAAAAAGAGAAAAAACAGAATCCATCCATGTCAGTTAAGAAACTTGATCTTTCAAATCTCACATCTTCAACATTTACAAGTATATGCATCAGTCATCATGCAATGGTTGATCTAAATTGAAATGACAATTTGAAGGGGGGAAATGATTTTGGTTGGTCTTGGAATCTTTTTATCAATGAGACTGTGAGTTGCACTGTTGTCAAAAGTGGCAAGTTGAGATGCTAAAGGCCTGGGTGACTCGAAATTATGTGTGGATCAAGAAAACCCAGATCCCGAATGCACAATGTCATGACTAAGAGGAACTGAAGAGAAAATGAAGGGACTACCTTCTTCCAACAAGAGTTAACTAGAATAAAAAAAAAATTGATTGAGACTTTAGAACGGGAGTCTGTAAGACTTGATATCCCGAACTTGTTGAGCAGGAGAAAACTTAAATGTTAGGACAAGAAAGTGGAGCAGAGAAAACAGAAGAGGATTCTAATTTCTAACGCCATTATGATTCCGCATCTACATTAATCAGCAGAAGGAGCTTCAAGTGGCTGCATATAAGTCTCACAGCTTCGCCGGTCATGTCTAAGAATTTACCAAGAATAAGTGCTCTAAACTAAGTGCATCATCAACACAAACCATTTGTTTCCTTGGAGGTTGAAATAATGCAGTAACCAGTACCAAAGTCTTCACTAGAAACTTAAAGGTAAAGCTAACGTTATTAAGCCCCCAATCGAGTTGTTCAGCTTCAAACAGCAGAAAATAATCTTACCCTAGACTTGAGTGCAGTAGGGCGAGCCTTTGGAGTGCCAATCTGACTCATAACAGTCTTTTGCGATTCCATCTCCAAGGAAGGGAAAAGAGGGGTTCCAGGAGGCGTTAGAAGCCTGAGAACAGAACACCATTTCAACTAAAATGAGAATAGAGCACAATTTTCTCTATCATCAGCTATGTCTCTAAATACCTCAAATCAGCACAATAATCAAGCAGGTAGCATATTATCCATTCAAAAAGAATCAGCACAAAGCACGGTGATTCTGTAACATGAATCTAGATTCTGCACCATTATTCAAAAACTAAAAACTTGGCAGCCTTATGTTGTTATGAGAGCCATCCATCACACCCCAAGAGAATAATTACCATTAGCAAAAGACCACCGAAACAATTCAACCTCAAGCATCAAAAGAATGGGTGGGGAAAAAAAGATGAAGATTATCTGATAATGATTTCCTTGATTGCATATATACCAAACACAATGGCAAAGGGCAACGGCTCCTATCAACCCACCACGTCTTTTCAACAAATCTGAACAAAATCTTATTCCTTTCCTAACTAATATTCTCCTACCGAATTGACCTTAGTACTATGTCATTTATCATGGGGGCGCACACATCCAAAGAAGACGAAGCCAAAATACTAACAAAACAAACGAGGATTGTAGTATAATAATTATGGAAGTGGACTAAATAATCACCAATATTAATGATAATTAATAACATAAGGAAAGTAGGGAAGAAAAACGCCATAGTGTCTTTCCCACGCACCAGTCGTAGTCATTCTTATCGTTGTCCGAGTTGAGAAAATCATCACCACCGGTTTTCCTCGCCGGAGTCGACGACGGGATGTTGAATATCGGCGACGTCCCAGGCTTTGAACCTATAAGAAAAAAACTCATTCCAATCAGAATGAATTTCACGGCGGACGAAGGAGGAAAAGGCAAAACCAGGAACAAAACAAAACCAACCTAACGGCGCATCAAAATCGCCGGCCTCATTGAGCAGGAGAAGATTGCTGTTCTGCTCCCTCTCCCGCTTCCTCATTTCCAAGAACAAGGCGAGCTCCTCTTCCTTCTCCTTCATCATGGAAGCTCTCAATTGCTGCCTCTGCTTCACCACCGCCGCTTGCATTTGCAGCTGTTGCATTTGCTGCGAGTCCTGAGCCCTAAAACTTCGATTCATTTTTTGTTCACTTCTCCGCTACCAACTGACAGATCGAGGAAACAACAATAAAAAAAAAAAAAAACTAAAACTAAAACCTAACTTCGCTTCTCATTCACTTCTTTCTTCTTCCAACAACCAAGCAGAGAGGAAGCAAACAAACACACACCACTGCAATGATTGGATTTTTTTTTGTTATCTCTTTCCTTCACTTTTAAAAAATAGCCAAACAGCTTCCACTCGCAGCGGAAACCAGTGACGAATTAGATCTAAAATCCAGCTCCAACCGCTGCTTCATAACTCCGTCGCCCCAGCTCAGAGAGAGAGAAGAAGGCAACAATGGCCGCTTGAAGAGAATGTGGCGTTAGGAGAGGGAGGGAGGGGATCACAGTGCCTGAAGAAGAGTGAAGAGAGAGAAGGGGGAAACAGGAAGGGGGAGTGGCAGAGTAGTGTAATTACGGGGAGGGACGAAGTGCCTGAAGAAGACGAGATTGATTTAGATTTGAGAATGGGGAGAGAGAGAGAGTTGGGGTTTTCCAGTTTTTGTTGAAGGAGGAGCGAAGGGATGAGGAGACGAAAGGTGCAATGGGCCATGTGGACGTGGTGGGACTTCTCTTTCTTTCCTCTCTGATAGAATAGAATACTTCATTTTCTACCTTTCGCAAATTCGCAACTCATCGCCAAGGATTTTGCTAGCTTGCTCCTCTTTGACAACGGACTTTGACAATACATGTATTTGAATATATATCATTTTTTTATTTAATTTAAAACATCTAACATCTTATTGATAATTCATATACTATGGATTTCGTCCACATATCAAGCAAAATTTCCTTTTGGAACTCATCTTACCACATCTAGTCTATTGGTACCTCGTTCGTCGCTGGTCGACTACGTCATCAAAGCTTCGAAATCGGGCAACTTTGTGATCTCGTTGCGGTAATTTGTAACATTTTATATATATTTTTTCAAATAGATTAAAAATACATGAATTTCTTTTTTGTATTTCATAAACAATGTATTTTCGTAAAAAAAAAACACTCTTAGGGGTCGTTTGGTTTTGGTGATTGTTTGGTTGGGATAGTTACAATGCATGCATTGTCCACAATACATTGTTTTTTTTTTTTTGAATTTTCTGCACAAACTTTACATGCATTGCTTGCTTGATGTGATGGAAACTATCACTTAAAATGAGTGAGTAATATCTCAAGTTTTTGGTGAGATTGTTGAAGTGTTTTCTTCTTCCAACTATGTCTCTACCTTTTGATGTGTTTTGCTTTTTTATATATAAAGCAAAGGGTAAAAGTGACATTTAACTCAGAAAGCAATATATCTTATTTAAATACTAGAATAACTATCATAACAACCAAAAGATGTAAACTACAATACATCAATTTTCTTATATACATGTATATTATTATACATGCATTGATAACAATGCATCTATTTAATTATCACCAAAACCAAACGATCCATTAGAGTATAATCTTCATGCATACATTACTTAGGATTGCAAAACTCAACGGGGAAACTCGAAATCTAGTTTCCACTACTAATTACAACAGCATGAGTGGTTTGGCATTTTTGCTAGTTCACCCCAAAAAAAGGAAAGAATTGTGTAAGCTTCTAATTATATCTAACAAAGTAAGCGAGTCGGCCGTGTGAATGTTAATAAAAAATATCATAAGTATTTGGTTTAAGTACGTGTTGGTGATAGGGTAGCCCATTTGGTGGCTAGGAAGGCCCTTTCTTTGTACCCGCCTATGAGTGGTTTCTTTGATTTCCAGGCCTGGCTGTCATCCAGGATGTAACTATCTCTTTTGATCTTTATAAGATTATCTTTTGTCAAAAAAAAAAAAAAAGTACGTGTTGGTGATCTACATACCATATTGATATTTCTATTTCAACTAACTCGTAATCATGGCATGTAAACATAATTGTGATACATACGCTACAATGGTAATTTGCTTGTTTCATAAGGAGTACTCATATCATCCACAAATATGGAAATCAAACATTACACAATATAACATCGTAGACACGAATGATTTCACCTAAAAATATACAACAATACAATAGCCATGAGTCATAAACAATTTAGATGGCAAATCACTATCATCCACCACATAAACTTCGCAAAACTTTTCAATGTTATCCGTAAATATTTACATATCCGACAAACAAAGAACTAGTAACCGTAAAAGATAAAAGGTAAGAACCCGTTCATCATATTAACAAAATTCACATTACGATCCTGGATTCACATTTTGTTCACCAATCATCGCTTTATGGAGGATTCGACTACTCACCGTGTTCGGTCTTTGATCGTGTACTCATTCATACATGTGTCCTACATTTATATTTTAGGGAAGAGGTAAAACCAAAATTTTATAAAGAAAAGTCCAATGGGGGGAGCTTTCAATTATCTTTGTGGAAGAAAGGCAAGACGGCAGGGTCAGTCAGCCAAGCCAATGGCCGACTGAATACATTTTTCTATTGCTATCATGGATGGTTCGTGGTTGTTTACTTGCTGTGTTCCCTACTATTTCACCAGCTTGTTCTATTGTATTAAATTTAGTCTGCCTTCCTTTTTTTTCCCCTGACGGTGGATGGTATTAGCAGAGGGAGTGAGGGCCGCTCGTTTTTCTTTTTCAACAATGAAACTCCAAAGTTAATGATCAACTACTAATTATTCGCAAATTGTAATTTTCTAAGCTGGTTTAGTTGGGAAAAAGACTATTAGTTAACAGATAATGCACCACCTTCTCAGTTCTGCAGTCTCCCATTGTGCAGTTTCTGTCAGATGTTTGGACCCAAACAGTTATTATTATTATTATCCGATTAAAGACCGGCGCCGACCATTTTGACAAAAGAGTCCGACCACAGTCCAAAATCCAAATGTCTCCCATCTCTGCTCAACCACATTGCCAGAAGGTGGCAGAGTAAAACACTAAAATGCAAATTGATATCTGAAAGAGAAAATCATCCCAACTAAATGTGTTTGTTTTTTGGTTTGATCATATCTCTATTTGATTCTAGAACCGTGTGACGACATTCTGCACGAGCAACATAAACACAGAGATTGTAGGAAGCCAAATTTCATGCTGAAACGAGCTGGACTCAGAAAACCACACAGAAAGAAAGGCTGCTGATCAGCATGTGAGTTCTTCTCTATTTATTGAAAACATGTTCCGATGTTCATCTTAGTGCACAAGATGCAGAGCAAGAAAACTGCAATGGGAGAAGAAAGGAGAAGATTCGGGTCGCTGTGATTCGAAACCGGAAAGTGCATCATCACCAAGAAGGCAGCAGAAGACAAACAGATCGATATGACATCTTTGTCATCTACCCAACCACATGGTCCTTGCGGCTGGGGGGAACTAAGCTATCAGCAATTGCTGGAACAACACTGCCCACATGAAAGAAAAACCAGAGGCACGATCAAGTCATGGGGTTGTTTCAGCGACTCGGTTTTGAGGGCGAGAGGCTCGCTGGAGTTTGGCAGTAGGGACATCATCCAAGTGAATATACTATTCTCTTCGACAGCTCTGCGCCCACAGACCTCTTGTATCTGTGCAGCTGGGATTCCAAGTACTTCTGTTCTTTTACTCCGAAAGCTGCTCGCAAATCCTTCAAAGGAAAGTAACTAGCAGGGTTAGTGTCGAAATCTCAATTGTATGACATTAATATATGCGCCTGTGTGTGTGTGTGCACGAGCCCATGCCTCAAGTTGAGGAATTAAGTTCAACTTTCGTCCTAGGTTTCTTTCAAACTATGATTCACTTTCTCGACTTATGATGTGTCGCTATGAGTGGACTATGAGTGACTCTACAATTCATCATTCTGCAACTTATATTTATATAGAGAATAGCTATACGCACAAATAGCAATATTCCGGAGATATCAATGGATGACACAAGCCTGGGACTTACCTGGTACCTTACACGAGCACCCTTCAATCCGATTAAAATCTCACTAACATCACCATTCTCTATCTCAACTGATCCATGCCCACTGGTTTCAGGACCTGACTCGTCATCAGAGGTCTCAGTTTCGGGTTCGACCATTTCTTCGTTGTCGTCTACAAGAATATCATTCAAGTCTCCATGTACATTATCGTCATGTTGCTGCTCATCCGTTATTTTTTCGGGAACATGAGGCAGCAAGGACTCTCCGTTCTGCAAGAGGGCAAAATCTGATAGAACGACATATGGCTTTTTGTCAAGCAAAGGACTTGCCACATCAATTGGAACCCATCTGCACACAGAATAAATCAGCACATCATCAGTATCTAAATATATAACGCACTAAGAAATAGTGTCCGTTTCAAAAAATAGTGAAAAATGGAGCATAAATGGAAAGCAGTAGATACAATGGAGACCTCTCAAAAGTCAAAATAGATGCCTAAAAGAACAAACCCTAAACTAAGATATTCCCAGAACCATGTCTTGTTTTCACTTTTTTTTTAACAATTTCCTGACAAATAAACAAACCAAACAATATTTTTGTAAATACATCACAACATGTACAATGAAAAACAAGCACTGAGCCAAATAACATCAATTTACAGAGACCCAAACACGCCCTTAATAAGTGACGGGGAAAAACCTCATCATTATTGCATTACAATTTTGACCAACAAATCGAAAGGGTGATTCATGAGGAAAAGGAATGCTCAGAATATAGCCACAAAGTAATGTAGAAGAGAACAGAATGTGAGAAAGGAACTTGCAAGGATGAAGACACGGACAAAAAAGTCAAACCCAAGAATTTGTGTTACAAAGCAACTTACTGGTAACGAAGAGGACAGAGCAATTCAGACGGGCGATATGCAGCTTTGTATCTCATCTTACTGCAGGAGTGTATATAATACCCGAGATAATAGTGCTGAAGACTAGGGCAATGTACTTGATTCTCTTTCACCCAATTGATTTCTTGCAAGGCAGAATACTTGCCTACAGACAGGAAGGCATAGTCCGGATCCCAGAACAAATATTTACTTGACAAACATTTTGGCAAGATGTCTATCACTCCCACAGCAATTAGGTGACCATCGATTACATATTGCTGATGGAAAGAACCAAACCCACAAGGAGGAACGAGGCTGTCACCCGACGGTGGAACAAATACTAGAGGAGAGTCGACGAGAAACCTCCTGTATGAGCTTTCTGTGACATGATCAGGTGCATCATTATGCACGTTTATTTGATACCGTCTATACAAATCAAACTCTTCAGGATCAAAACTAGATCTTTTCAACCGAACCTCAAGCCTCCTTCTTTTACCAAGCAAATGTTCACTATTCTTCCTTGAACAGCAACTTTTTCTTTTACACCCTCTTGCAGATTCTTCAGGCCCACTGAGAGTTTCACTGCTCTCAGTAGGAGATTGTGTTGCAGCACCATAAAAATTTATATGGCCATTGCAAGCCCTGACTGCCAGACTGCTGCTGCTTTGAGCAAGCTGATCAACAGATGCAACCAGCGTTTCTGCAATTGCCTTGGCAGTTATGGCATTATTTTCAAGATTAGGACTTGGTTCCTTATTAGCTGACTTAGCTCGATTGAGAGTCGCTGCTATCTGGAATGCAATGTTGCTCGAGTACAGTAGATCTTTCCCCCCTTCTACAAGTAGTTTCCTTTTCCCCTGGGATACCTTTTTGACAGAAGCTTTAGGTAGTTTGATGCCAGAAGGAAGTCCTCCATGTTCAGTGCACTTATTCACTGCCTTGTCAAGTTGCTCCGACAAATAGCTGACAATCTGCTCTGAACTTCTTTTCTCCTCACTTTGATCAGAGAGTGAATCCTTCATTCCACTGCTTGACGCTTCATGACAGGCACATGTGCATGTATTGATAGAGATAGTTGGATCATCTGTTGCCTCTACTGGGTTTTTCACATCCAGCATTCCATCTAAGAACCTAGGCACACGCATTACAAGCAGTCAATTGGGCACCGAGGAGTCAGATACAAAGTACATTTAACAGGAGCAGATATCACAAGATTATGCAAACAACACATGGATTCAAATTCCTCAAAGATTCATAAACAAGTCCACCAAGAAAATATTCTCTGTGTCTGTGGAACATCCCATTGTTAGTAGCTTGTTTCATCAACAAGCCAAAGATCTCAAAGACCTACCAATCGAAAGAAAATGAGACCAGAGGGACATGCATTCTTAAATGACTTGTTTGAAAAGAGAAAATACCTTTGCACTCTTCTAGAGACACGTTGTTGCTCTTTTGAAGGAACAAAGTCACTTGCCCTCAAACGGATAGTATATGATGGGCAGCATGTTCTTTCCATCTCAGGTTTGTACAGGAAACATCCGGATCTTCTCCAGCCCTGGTCAAGAAGATCTAGCAATGAAGGATTGTATTAGAAGAAAGCAAGCCTACAAAAAAGTATTGAGAAAAAATTCCATGCTTTAAAACAGAGTCACAACACAACGATCAACTAGACAGCAAGAATTTCGTTCCAGGATGCATGAAAGGAGATCCACTGGTTCGACAAAACACGACGATTTCTGCTCATCTTAAAGCAGTTTGATATCACTCAAAATCCAATGGTTTTGCATATGTGGCACTGCAATCGTTCAAATGTTCTTCTCATAACCACTCATTTTACTACTGATCAGACAGAAAATCCGATCAAAATTTCCTTGTTGGTAGACATGAGGCATTATACTACACTGTTCCAGATATCCAAATCAAGCGAACATAGCAACGTATATAAATTATAAAAACATAAACCGAACGAACCTTGATAATCATCAACTGTAATGCTGTGTGCCCATAGACCTGGAAAAGCAACCGAAATGAGCCTAAATTAAACATCGAAAGCTTACTTATATTCATATTATTCAATCATAGACCGACATGGAAACAACAATCGCACGCTCTAGGATTGCAATGCTCAAAATCCAATCCAATTCAACCAAATTCCATTAGGTGGTAACAAACTAAATTCCAAACCCACCTTTCCTCCATCTTTATAACATAAGACAGTCACCACTAGCACCCCAATTGAAATTGAACAGCCTAGACCATAATGATCTCTAGTTCTCAATTCCATGTTCTCACAAGGATCACGAATCAATAAATTCTACGACTCCACCAACAAGAGCTAGCCTAACAAAGGTGACCAATTTCCAAGATCAACGAAAATTCCCAACGATGAATCGCGAAGAACTAGAAAATACGGACCATGGCTAATGCTGGTGCGACCGGGAGATTTGCAGTAACCGCAAGAGCTTTTACACCGGCCACAATCAACGACCACCGTCTCTCCCCGGCTGCTGCCGCTGCCGCTGCTGCTGCTACCACTGCTACTTCCCGCCTCGCTTCTCCTCATCTTCCCTGCCATTTCTCTCTGTCACGATTCGCCAATCATCAACAACACTTCACCAGCTACAACGGCAAGAATTACCGAGACGGCGGCGAATCGCTTTGCTTTCTCACCGTAGGTTCGCGTCTACCGACCGGATTTGAGGGAATTGAAGAACAGTTCGAGGTTGAGGGATTGCACGAACGGAAATCTTGAGGGAGAAGCGACGAGACGAGAGAGAAGGCGTTACATCAATTATTTCTTTCCTGTGGGCTGTGCCTACGGATTGGAAATTTCTTAGTTCATCACTTCATCTATTTTCGTTTCCCATTTTGAAATATTCGGTATTTGCAAGTAGGTCCCTCTTTTGGTTTTCTTACGTGACGTCAAATCCCACTTGACGGCCACATTTTACTCGGAGAACAAGTGAATGATGCTGAAAGGGGGATTAAATTTAAAACTTTTTGATTCAGTGATGGTACTATTGCAAATTGTTAATGTTTACGTTTTGGGTCCTCTTTTTGTTTCTTAGTCAATTATTTAACTGGGCCGTAACCCAAGTGGGCTTTATATATTCACTATTTATTAACGACGCAACCATCACGCCGGAAACGGAAGTGGGCTCAATTTGGAATGGTTTGGTTGAAGACTTTTGTTAAATAAATATTGTTAATATTTCGCTGGAATTTTTTATTTTTTTAATATTTTCATTTCTAAAGTTAAAATAAGGTCAAATATCTCTTTGAATCGAGCATTTGAAAAAGATAAAAATGATTTTCTGTAACATAAGAGTAGAGGATTAGTTATCGAGTTTTTGTGAATATTATACTTATCAATTTTTTCTAGAAAATGTAGTTTCTTTCATTTTATATTAGTTATAACTAAATTAGTTTAGAAAATAATATTAATTAGTTTAAATAATATCCACTCTAACATTTTTTGTTTTACATTTGAAATTTTAAGTAACTTTACATCACCCCATATATTAAAAAGTATTTTAATAGTTTATTAGTCCAACATTCAATTGTTTTTTGAATTGCCTTGTAGCATGACACTGCTGCTATTAGCTGTGCATGTGCTGCATTGTGTAAATGACATGGCTAAACCTGTACATGAACATGATCATCAACACAAATACAAGATAAGACGGTTTCAGGGATTCAGAAATGAAATATCATAATATTCACATTTAAATGAGGAAAGGACAAGAACTAATAATACATCATGAATCAACAATCCAATGTTTTCTTGGCACCCAAGCTATCTGACATCAAGTTCCCCAGAGTTGTTTGAATGTGCAGGTTGGTTTAATTCTTGCAGGAGTTACAATGAGGAAATTAGGAGGGAGATAGGAATGTACAATTGGTAACAGATGGTTAAGACAGCATACTATCAAACATCATCAGCATCACTCCCGCCGACATGCTGCGAAACTTCATGATTGGCCCAGTAACTGCTTCCATCAGGGCCAGACACCTTAAACCTGCTCCAACAACCAAAACTTTGTAACCTTAATTCATCTAACAATCTGGAATTCAGACTATGGTGAAACATCTAAACTCAATCTTTCTGCAAATGTTTCAGCTAACTATCTACTGACCGCTCGAGGACAGATTTTCCTTCCTTGTACTTCTGTGCCTTTTCGTGGGCGGTCTCCTGAAAGAAAACATACCATATATATTTATCATTCCCTATCCATGAAATTCTCTTGCCACTGAAGCTCTTTTTTACAGGCTCAGCCAAAATCTTACATATTTCCAACCCACAATTGATCCACACCCAACACAGAAGATGTCAACAACAGTATGCCTCCCGGTCATCATCATTCTCTCCTCTTTCTCTCCCATAGTGACATTCACTCTGCAACATGTAAAAGTCTACTACCAAGTGAAAAGAAACCCATGGCATCCTTTGCCAGCAAATGCATTCCTAATTATACAGATCACAGCAGCACATGTAGGACATAGCTGAAAAGACTGATCCGTAAGGAGAATAAAATTCTTCTTCTGGGATCAACGGATAAACTTGAAGTTCTGAAGTCCTCATAACATTTGTGCAAACATATCTCTAACACTACTTGGCCCTCTAAACAATAGTAAGATAGACTAAATCCACCTCTCTTATGCGTTGCATCATGTGTTTACTCACATGCCACACAATGCAAGCACTGGCTGAAGGCTTAGATAAATTGAAAAACGTTTGTTAATCCACATCAACTCTTGTTCATTTATTACTGGCCAAACCATAAACGACAATAACAGATTGGGGCATTGGCATGTATTCATAACTGCAACCACATGCCCACAATGGATCAATACTTAAAAATCAAGGAAAACTTACACCTTACTGAAGAGATAAGCTTTCCCATGCCTGGAGTGGAAAGACTGAAAAGACACACAGGCATGACAAGTAGTCAGAACCTCACTTCCAAATAACATACAAAGAATACTCGTGGGGACCTTAAACACATCAAATGCAGAACTGATAATTTCAAATTGTGCACATCCATACTTCCAATACCCTCAACCTCAACGAGAGGTGAAAAACACGCACAATACGGTACCATATCAAAAGGAAAATCTAAAACCAAATGGTTGAAGAACAAATGTTCCAAGGTTTATGCAGCACATTGGTATGCAATTGCAGTATCCAATTAATGGTTCATCAGATGCCAGGCTACTATCCGATCAGACAATGAACGACCGAAGCTCTACAGCTATCAAATACGGAGATGAGATAATCTATCGCTTACAATGTTGCACTTAAGCTGTGGCATTGTAGTAATGAACTCATCAGAAGTATAAACTACTCCCAAAACCACTGACTGATTCCATTGCAATTTCCACCATGAACCCAAAGCACCAAGGGTCTAACTTTGGCAGAAAATGAACAAATAACCGCGATACAGTTATAAGTTTCTGCATCAGAACAATCAGGTAATGCTCGGAAGAAAAGCAATAACCTACACCAGCAAAAGCTCTGATTCACCTACCTTGTCATTCTGTACAGTGAACTTCAATCAACAGAAATTATTCTGTGAACCCATTTACTAGTGAAGATCAAGGAACAATATTTTTCACCCAAATTGAGTGCATTCTGCTGCACTATATGGCAGATCAATTCACTGAAGTCTTTAGCAATCCCCAAGCCTATCTAGTCAGTCTACCTAATCATAAATGTGGTTGAAAACTAACAGTCCTACTCCGAAAGTGCTCGAATTCAATCATCAACAACTTCTTCATCTACAGCCAATTTCACACCATAAAATTATTCCGACGGAACAAAATACCTACTTAATCAAACAAAAACCCAGATGAGAATTCCAAGAGATCATGGCACAGAGACAAGATCACTTCTCCATCGAATGAAAAAGGGGCTACCTTTGACACAATATCTTCACAAAGAGCAAGATGGGTTCTGCAGTGCTTGCAACTATAGATCTTCCCTTCAAGGTTCACCACAAAAAGCCGCCCCATCAGCTCCGAACCAAGCAACTAGATCGTCTTTGTCCACCAACAATTCGTGTCAATCGAAGAAAATGCCAAACTTTCATATGAGAGGAAAGAAACCACTTGGGGTAATAACCAACAGGCAGCGGCAGAGGGGAAGAGAGAGAGAAGGAAAGAAAGAAACACGGAATGGCAAGTTGGGGTGGGAACGGAGCAGAAGGGTTGTTTTCTTTTGAAGGGGAAAAAAAAAATACTAGCCAAAGGCAGATTGCGTACCGCTTTCTCTTGTAGAGCAAAACTTGGTACAATTGTTAATTAAGTCTGGTATTATTGGCGATGGTGGTGCATGGATTACAAGTGAGAAACGATGACCTAATAGTCCCGTACCCATCGAAAGAAATTCACAAACTTACAAAGCGATGAAGCCGAAGGGTGGGTAAATGTACAGGGTGGCAGGACTCCTTCACAATCACAACTGTAATTTGTTGCCCCTCACTGCAAAAGTGGAACTTGACAAAGACGTGTATTCCCCATCCATTAGGGGTGGGCGTTCGGTCGGTTCGGTTCAAACCGAACCGAATTAGTATATGACGATTTTCCGAAAGTGTCAATACTCCAACCGAATTCGAACCGAGCTATATTTCGGTTCGGTTTGCCCGAACCGAAATATAACTCGGTTCGGTTCGGATTTTCTGTCAAAACCGGAATTATGAGACTTCTCCTTTTATCTCCCTCTCTTTTTCCTGGTAGTGCTGGACATACCCCATCTCTCTCTCTCTTACTCTCATTTTCCCATTCCCCTCTCTCTCACCCACCCCCATCCGCTTTTCCTCTCTCCAAAAAAAATTGACTCTCTGTCCACAATTATCTACCACCGCCGTCGCCCAACTTCCTCCGCCGCTGAGCTCGCCGCTGAGTGGTATCTTCTCCAATAAACCCAACATAAATACAGAGATCGTTCGCCCAACTTCCTCTGCTGAACTACCCCCGTCGCCGCTGAGCTTGCTATCAACTATCACCGTCGCGACCGTTCCACTCGCCGGGTCTCCCTCTCCAATCGCGACCGTTCCAATCCTCACCCCTCGATGCTTGCATGTGGGTTGTGGCTGTCGGCCTTCAAATCAGTCGACGCAGAGCTCGATGTAGCGGCAGTAGAGAGGCGGGATGCTCACGTCGGCGATGGTCCCGCCACTGTTCAGGCCGCCACTGGATCTGATTCCGGTAAAGCTCCGAGCGACAATAGATGGCCGGAGTGATAGTTGCAGCCGCCTGGAAGCAGTGAGAGAGAGTGGGTGGTCGGAGGCTGGCTGGCGGCGAGGAGGCAATCGGAAGTGGATGGCCAATGGGCAATGGTGGTGACGGGTGAGGATCAGAGTCGGGTGGGCTATTGCCGCCTTGGCGGCGATTCTCCTCCTCCTTTTTCTGGCTGCTGGGATAGGGTATTAGGGTTGCTGGGATAGGGATATGTGTTGTGGGTTTACTGGGAAGTGGGCTTGGGGAGAAGACTGGGCCTCTTAGGGAATGGGCCAGGCTGTGGGAAATGGGCTGGGCATATATTTCGGATTCTCGGTTCGGATTTCGGAATTTCGGGTTCGGTATGACCACCCTGGTTTCCGAAATACCCACTTTCTGGTTCCGAATTCCGATCCGAATAGTAATAGTTCGGTTTCGGTTCGGTTCATACTCGGTTCGGTTCGGCTCGGTTTGGGTTTACCGAACCGGATGCCCACCCCTACCATCCATGGAGGCTTTAATTTCTTCTCTGTTGTTGAAAGCAATCTTTGATGTTAGGGTTGATAACTAAACAAGTACATGTATTATTGAAAGTTAACAAATGAACCCTTGTATAAAAATTTCAAGCAACTAAGCTCTTGGCTTACATAGAGGAGATATAACGTTATTTTTCACAACAAAAATGGATAGTAACCCCAATTTCTCCCTTCTAAGTAGAAAATTGGCCCGTCCATAAGTCGTAATTGGGGAGTTCGGAATTAGATTCATCATGATTCATATAAGATAAGGAGGTCAGCTTTAAATCTTAACCGTATTAAATATATTATGTTGTGAACATGACGACATGTCTTTCTTTGTAATTGCTCCATCTCAAATGTCATACGACTGCAACCAAACCAATTTCCATTCCACCAGCAGCTAAGAAGAACGAATAAAAAGTGAATATTCCCACGTCACATACGCAACTTTCACCACCATTTCTTACCATATCTCTTCGTTCCGCAGTAAATTAAATCAGTAAACGCACGAGAACTTAATCATATGCAGTAGTTAATTTAATTACTGTATCTCACTGTCCACAGGCAGTAGTAGTACTTTTAAAATTTCGGTTTACATTCTTTTTTTTTATTTATATAATTAACTCAACTAGCTTTTGTCTTTTTTTTACTGCGTGCAAACGGTAACATTAATATTGGCTGGCCGGAGATCACTGGCCGAAGGTGGCGACGAAGCTGATTGGGCCTTTGCCGGTGTAAGCAGCCTGGAGACCGAAGATGAGGAACGCCACCATGGCGAGCCTGGAGTGCTTGATCTCGGCCAGCTGGAGGCTCTCCTTCTTCTCCGGGTCGGACGCCAGGCCCAGCGGGTCGAAGTACCCGCCCGGGTAGAGCCGCTTCTCCGGGTCGAGCTCGGCGTTCCGCTGGAACTCGATGTATCCGATGACCAGCGCCTCGATCCAGATCAGCGTCGTCAGCGAGAACGGCAGCGGCTGCCCCAGGTACGACGCACCTTCCAACAGCTCCACCTGCCCACCCAAAATCACCCGAATATATATATATATATGCACCCATGCCAAAGAAATGCTTAATTTGATATAAAAATATAATAAATCATGTACTCAAAAAGTCAATAATAAGATATATTGTACTAAAAAATATTGGTTTAACTGTTTTCTATTACTAAAATCGCCTATAGTTCATAATTTCGGTCGGATCTAACTTGTACCGTAAAATTTATCAAATATTGATAATAATGATAAAAAAAAATGGTCGGAATTTTTATTATCTTTTATGACTAAATTATATTATTTCTAATATGTGGTGATTCATTAACAATCGAAGTCGTTGACCGTCTAGATTGACTATCAACTTACAAGCCATGTCCAAATTGTTCAAATAGTTATCGATTTTGGGGAGCATAGGGTTTTAAAATTTCTAATCAAAATAATCTATTGATATAAATTCAGGTTAAGTAATGGAGAAGTTGGGTGAAACCAGGAGAAGGTATAACATAACCTCCCTTAAATTTAAAATATAGATAAAATTACATATAAAAATCCTAATAAATTAAAAAAAAAAAATCAATAAGGTCTTAACTCTCCTAACTCAAATACCACGATTCAATTCAGCCCCTCATTCACATTTCACTGATTAAACCTTAAATTAATGTCGGTGGATGCCACAATATTTGGTTGGATAGGCAAGTGAACACGTATACCCCGATTGGAAGAAAATGACGTGTCAGCTGCTTACTCTCCACAAAAAGTTAAATCACTAATTTGTCCATGCCACTACCCCGATTAGCATGGATCTACATGAGTACGTCGTACTTTCTACGTATAACCTACGCAGCCGCATGTAATTAATATGCTAACTCGATTAAAATCAACATTTTGTCAATAATGATATCATTAATTACAGTTTACTAAGCCCGTTTTAACAAAAACCCTAACATGCAAATCTCTTTCCTAACTAGAATTTAGCCCACACGGAAGCTAATTGATTAGTGGGTTTAATTGGCGTACCTTGCCGGCATCTTGCCAGGAGACGCCGGTGAGGGCCTCGACGGCGATGGCCCCCAGCGTGCCAAGCATGGCCCACCTCCCGTGGATGAGCTCGCACTCCCTAAACCGCTGGATCCCGAAAACCTCGTCGTACGGCTGAAACGGCGTCGGCTTCACATCCGTGGCCTCCGTCCTCACTCCTATAATGTCCCCGGCCAGGTTCTTGGCCAGGTTCTGGTCCAGCGAGTCGAAGTCGAACTGCAGGTACTCGGCCGGCTTGGCCAGGCCCAGCGGGTCGAACCCGCGGTCGCCCACCATGGTCCCGTCGAGCCACTCCGGCGGGTTCGCCCGCGGGAACCAGACCAGCCTGTCCCCTGCCGGGACTGCGGGCTTCTTCTTGGGCTGTGGGGCCCCCTTCTTCTTCCCGAAGCTGAATCCGAACCGGGCCTGGACGAAGTTGGGCCTCCGGGTTTGGGCCCCGGCGGTGAATCGGGAGGCGGCGACGGTGGCGGTGGCTGCCGCGGTGGTGGCCATGGTTGTTTGTGTTGGCTGCACGGTGGGTAAAATGAGGAAAGTTGGGGATTTGTAGAACTGAAAAGCGTGGCCTTATAAACCAGAATGGATGGATCTGTGTGGTTCTTTTGAAATAAAATGAGAAAAGGTTTTTTTTTTATTGGGGGAGTGAGTGATTTTGTGAAGATGAATGGCATGGACCTTATCTTTTGCCCTTATCTGCTATTGGGTGAGACTTGGATGGTTGATGGCCTTTCTTTTGCTGATGATTATTAATTTATTATTGTTCAGTGGGTCTCTCATCTCTGTTTTTTGCTGAGAGAATTTAAGGATACATTTCTTTTCTCACCTAGTGGGCTTCTTTCTATATGGGTTTTGTTCTTGTTTGGTGACTGCTGTTCAGCTTGTTAACCATGGGCCATGGCTAGCAAGAGCATCTTCCTATTAGACTCTTTGTCTACTCTTTTCCTTCCTCCACCATCACTCTACCTTCTTGTTACTTTCTAAAACAATGAGTATGAATAATTCGAATTGTTGAGAGAGGGTAAGTATGATACTTAAACATTTCTTTACACGTCTTCTGAAATGAAAGTCGGATATCTCATACAATGTGTTTTAATACAACATTTAATATTAGGGGTTGTTAGGTTTGAACTAGGACGTCAATGAAAACCCAATTTCGATACCAACTAATTTTAATAAATCGAGTTGTTAGAAGAGGTTCACGTATGGTACTTAAAACTTGATCACTTCCTTATAGTTAAGTTATAGGATTTTTAGTGTGGACAAGTGACCAAAGAGAGTGGTCGGCTTCTATTATAGAACGACTTCATTAGTTTCATATATGTGTGTAATATATTTGAACCGACCCAGACTATACTGAGAGTTTTTTTTAAGGATAATCCTAAAAAATTTATGAAAGATAGCTTCAGTCTGCCCCCTTCTTGCTAGTCTGCAAGCGTCCTATGAGATTATTCGATTATCTTCTTGTACGAGTCTTATTCACAAACGAGCGATCCACTATTGAAGATTTAATGCGATATATCTTTAGTATATATTTTATAGATGACGCTCTATGAACTTTTGGTAATCAACATTTGTAGATATATAACTGTATGACGAGATAAAGACTCATACTCTTTTTTGTTCACCATCAACTGAAGCTGAAACAAAAACTCCTATTCAAAATGTGATTACATTTGCTAAGTACTATATTACATCTTTTACAATCTTTCTACATTGTGGATTTCTTTGCGCTCAATGTAAATCCATCCGCTTGCCCTTCTCTGAGCTTAGCTTTTCACAATTGAATGACACCTTGGACAACATGTTCTTCACCCCTACAAATTGAATCCAAATTCTCTTATTCTTGACGGAGGACCTCTATCTTAGAAAATGAACAAGGAAAACTACTCAGAACTTAGAAGCAACAATGGAACCAATCAGAAGGAAGGCAGTGAGGCAGAGTAAGATCCTCTGCCTGGTAACTCCATCAATTCCCTCACACAGCATTTCCCCGTCCAACTTCCTGAAAGCTGCCTCCACCGATTGCCACGTCTTTTGGGTTCTCACTGCGGGACCCATCACAAATATCTGGCTTCTGGTTTGGTACCATTCCTTCTCCCTCTCTCGCCCTGTCTTATTCCTTCCTTCCACCTTTCTTCCCAATCTCTCTGGCCTCTGCTTTGCTTTCTTTACTATCGAATTCTTGCTTTCTGGGCAGCTCTTCTCTCCTTCTGCGGCTCTGTTAAGCTAAGCAGCAAAATCTCTGGATCCATTTTCTTTTCTCTCTCTTCTCCGGTTTAAGAGGTACTCGCCCTTGTCTCTCGTTCTTGCGTTTACTTTCTTCCCTTATAGAGGCAAGACAGGAAAGTTGGATTTTGTCTGGTTGAATTCTACCTTGTTTTGTTCGAGCATGAAAATGGGGTTGTAATTAGTTTCTCACCCTTGTTTCTTTTGTGTGTAGTTTGAGGGGTGAGACTTGTTATTAGTTGCAGGAAATTGTCCTGTTTCTATCCAATGCAACAGTCACGCCTTTTACTCCAACTCTCTGTCTCTCTGAAATAATTGAATCAAAACTCAAAAGGGCTGTTTCTTTTTTCAGGTTAATCTGCCGTGGTAGTTTCAACTTTGAAGGAGGAACTAAGCTATGAAAGTTTCGAAGGGCAGGGGAAGCAAGGACAAGAACGAAGCAATTGTGGAGGACAGGTAATCATCACGAACTGATTAATAGCATAAGCACACCATGAATTCATGATCCTTTTGAATGGTTGAATATCAATTTCAAGATTGTAATTGATTGATTACTGTATATGGGTTATCAAGGTTAGAAATTTCGGTTTTAAAAGGCTTCAACATCAGGTTCTGGACTGTTTTTTTTTTATCCCAATAAATATCGTGGATTTAAATCTTGTCCACCTCTTAGTGGGATGGCAGCCATGGTTCCTTAGGATGAATGTTAGGCTAAAGTTAATTCCTTTATCTATCCCAGGAAGTCTGCTGGGAAGAGGAAGGCAGTGGGGAAGGTTTCAGAGAGTAGGAATAGCAGTAGTAGTAGCAAGAGAAGAACTGGGAGTGTTAATAACGTTGAGAAACAGGCTTCAGCCAAGGATCCCAACAAGCCAAAGCGGCCTGCCAGTGCCTTCTTTGTATTTCTGTGAGTTTTCTATGATTTCTTGATTAGCTGCTGGGTTTACATGTAATGAATGAAGGATTGGAATGATATTGCTTATGTGAAAAAATTGCAGAGAAGAGTTCAGGAAGGTTTACAAGGAAGAGAATCCTAATGTGAAAGCTGTCTCCGCTGTAAGCAAAACCCTAGCTAGCTACTGCTTGCTGATTCAGTAATGGATATCAACTTGTTAGGCAAAGTGTTGTTTTATTGAGTGAATGCAAAATCCATTTGAAGGTGGGGAAAGCTGGAGGAGAGAAATGGAAATCCTTGTCTAGTGAAGTAAGTTGCTTCACCTCTTTGATTCTACAAAAGACTTCATGAGGCCTTATTCACAAGGAAAAAGGATGTGTTTATTTGTTTGTTTGTTCAGGAGAAAGCCCCTTATGAAGCGAAGGCGGCCAAGAGGAAATCGGATTACCAGAAGCTTATGAATGCCTATAACAAGAAACAGGTGGTGAGAAGTTTTGTTGCTGAAGTGTTACCTTCATCTTGGTCATGCTATATTGTATCTCAGTGTTAGTACAACTTTGCCTGCTCAGGAAAGTGTGGATGAGAATGAAGAGGATGAGGATGAAGAAGAAGAGCCCGCCAAATTGTCGAAGAAGCCTAAAGTCAATGGCGCCAAGGAAGATGATGAGGCAGACTCTGAGGTATAAGTTTCTTAATGTAGCAACAAAAACATGGCCTTTAGATAGATGCATTGCCCCTAGAGGTTTAGTAAGCATTTCACTGAACCATCTTGAATCATCTTGCTGCAGGAGGAGGACGAAGATGATGATGATGACGACGACGAAGATGATGATTGAAGTGTTGGAATATGTTGAAGACCAAAGCTGAGCATATGTGGATTTTGGAGGATCATAGGCTTGGGATTTCAAGGGAGCCTTAATTATGTTTTCTTATGTCTTGACTATGTTAGTACATGTGTGATTGGCTTCAAGAAGCCGGATTATGTGGATAGGCATTTGATAAAAAAGTTATCATGTGGATAGACATTTGATAAAAAAGTTATCGAAGTTACTACTTTTTACTAAATTGTGTGGGTAAATGTAAAATTTGAATCATGATCCAATGTCTTTAGTTCAGCTTTATCTTTACGTTGTTAGACTCGGGTTCAGATTGAGTTAACAATGTTTGAAATTGCATTGAGTTACGAGTCAGTTGATATGTGATCAGATAAATTACATGTTAATTGGTTCAAAATTAAAAGTGCCATTTCAATAAATAAATAAAAAGTGCCATACATTTGAATTTTTTTTATTAATTTAAACCTTCGACCAACAATCATTTAAATGGAATTGATCCCACCAAAAAAAATTGAGATTAATTGAATCAAACTAACAACCCTACGGAAAGCCTCCTGATGATGAACAGTTATCAGGGCCAAAAGACTGTGTTGGGCCTCTGGTTCATTGGTTGTTAGCCCATTGTCTCTCAACCAAAAGGAAAATTTGTTAGCCCATTCTATATGGCTTAAGGAGCATTAAGTTTGGGCCTTGCTAGCAGCCCAAACGAACTAAGGAGTATTGGATCCCAATAGAAGGCCCAGATAAAAGCCTGAAACCTTTATAATAAAACCTTCCATTATTTTGGACACACAAATAAAGAAGTAAGAAACACACAAACAAGCCCTTCATTAGTATAAGTTTGTCCTACTTAGATACCAAAATATTAGCTTAGTAGTAGCAGGAATGAAAACATCAAGCTGTCTTTGAATTCAAAGCTTGAAATTAACTAGTTAGGTGTTACTTGTCAAACCCTTGTTCGCGCACCACACTTATTCTTTATTGTCGGCTAAAGAATGATATACGATCAATAATTGTAACATTATAGTATAAAAAAATTAAAAGAAAATCTGTATCGTGACTCAAACACTCGATTCTACTTCTCTTCTGAACATCCCGTTAACACAATTGCCAAAAAAAATTACACGGCTTAGTGGCTATCATGGATGGTACGAGTACAAACCCATTCCTGAAAGGTAAAAACTGAACTAAAAGAACAGTAAAAAGGTTAGAGAAGAAACTAAAATGGTTCTAGATCGGGGAAAAAGAAGAAGATAAAAAAGAGGGTAAATACAATTTAATATCCAAACCTTTCATTTTAAACAATATAATAGCCAAACCTTTTCGAAAACAATCTAATATCCAAATCGTCATCTTTCCGTTCGTTTGACCGTTGGTTGACACTTCAAAAAAGCTTTGTTTAGGGGAAATTGTCACAATACAACTTTGTTTTCTTGTTTTGACATTGCAGATGACTGAATATTTAGATATTCTATACCATCATGGTGGAGTCATGGATTTCTCGGGTTTGGAACCACGATATGTTGGTGATTTTCAGAGAAGATATCGATGGATATTGATGAAGCGTCGTATTTCGAACCTTTTTGAAGTGTCAACTAACGGTCAAACGAACGAAAAGTTGATGATTTGGATATTAGATTGTTTTCGAAAAGGTTTGGCTATTATATTGTTTAAAATGAAAGGTTTGGATATTAAATTGTATTTACCCTAAAATAGAAGTCAATAGCTCGGAAGTAAATTCACGAATTCACCACAAATCACGTGCGAAAATGTTGGGAACATGTCGCCGTAAAGTGGAAAGAAATGAGATGTGGTGGTCACATGGTCGGAAAGACTTCACTCACTATGTATAACCTCTAATTATGCTCCCATTAATCATCACCAAAAAGAAGAAGAAATTAATTACCACATGAATGAAACCAATGAGAGGGCGGCACTTTTGCGATGTTTGTCTGGTTGGTCTACTTTTTTTTATGTTTTTTATTTATTTCCAGAGTTATAATATATTTGAGAAATCTCATTTAGAAAATGCAGAGGATAAATTAGTAATTTATAAGGAATAATTTCACATAAATTTACAAGACAAATGAATGATTTCTGGTAAGAATTTCAATATTTAACGTTACAAGGGTGAAGTAGGTAGAGATGGATAAGCTCTAGATATATCAGCACTATGCACCCAAATACAAAGTCGTGCAAAATAGACTCAAAGCGGACAATATTTTTATAAAAAATTGGTTCACAGTTTCTATATGGCGTAAGCCTCCCAAAAGGTAACGGAGGGGTGCAAAGGTTTCTTCAGGCCGTACGGTGGCCCTTGAGTGCAAAGGCAGAAGGGAGCTTGACTGCAAGACCGACCTTTAAGAAATAAATGAATTCCAAAAATCGTGGGCAAATCCAAAAGGGGTTTTCATTTATATGTTGTACTGTAATGGGATGTGTCTATTTATCTATCCGTATATGTTGTATCTACTTAGGTCTTTTTTGTGTTGCCTTGTAATGCTTTATTACAATGTTATAACCAGGGATTTAACTACCCGGATCATTTTAATACATTAATTATTATGCTGCAATGTTTTATGTATCAAATATATTTATGATAAATACATGGCAAAAGCTTGCATGTCTAGCGTATGTTATCTAAGCGGACTTTGCTACGGTGCCATGCATGTTATCGTAATTTGTACTTTTAGGTCGACCTCATATAGGATTAGGTCGACCTAATCTGTCGTTTCAGTCTTGTGCTAGAAGGCAGCTTACTTCGTAGACAAACATACCTACTTTCATGTGGTAGAGGCCCTTGGACTCGAATCTCATCCATGCTTCTCTAATTGAGCTCCAAAGTAGGCTTCACAAACACTTTCCCAGCCTTAGTCATTTTCAGACAGTTTCCCAGTTTTGGCATAGTCTTTTGATCAGGTTCAAAAATGGTATTCTGGACTTCCTATCGAGCTCCCAAGGACTTCAATGTGTAGAGGGACACTCCAGCTTCAAAACAAGCCACTAATCTCCAATTTCCATCGAGCCAATTGTAAGATATGAATATCCAAAGTAGGCACCATGAAACTGTTTTTACACGGAAACAACATATTAGGTCGACCTAATTCTAATTCAGGTCGACCGAAAAGTGCAAGTTACGGTGACACGCATGTCACCATAGGTGCACCCTATCTAAGCGAGTGTTATAAGATCTATAATAACCTTCTCCCAACGATTCGAGTTACTTGGGACCAACTGGTTTATGACATGGTATCAGAGCCTGCTTTGGCCAAGTGGTTGTTTGTTCGAATCTCCACGACCACCAATACTAACAGTTGATTAAAGCACAAGGTATGGTGGGCCTATGCAAACTTCAAACTCGTGAGTTGAGTTTCGTTTGAGGAGGCGTGTAAGAGAGTGGTATAAAATCTCGTCTTCATTTTTATTAGATATATTTTGACAATTAGAATTCTCAATAATTTATTTTTGAATTAAACGTTGGTTTGTGTTGGAGAATTAAAAACTGAAAATCACCAATTAAAAATTAAAATACAGTATCACGACTCACACTCGGGGTAATTCAAGATATAGTTAGCAAAACTTCTTCAGCATAAAATTAGTTCTCACTGAACATATCTCTGTCGTACTGCTTGCTAATGGGCTTTTCGATTGCCCGGTTGGACATGGGAATTTGCTAGCATGGGTGGGTGGTTGCGTTTGTGTAATGATGTTTTTTCCCCTCTCTTCATGGTGTGTGTCGGGAATTCTGTCGCATGCACGTGCGGCGTGGGGCTACGTACTACTACACTACTACTCCAACTAAAATATTTATGGATACATTCTCTTTTCCCACGGTACTTAATTATCATATATAGATTACGAAAATATATCCATAATATTACCATTGCTCTAGTAGTCTTAGTTGTAGCAAAGGTATAACTACTATTATAATGACCGAAACTATCAATTAACTACATGAATTAATGAAGATGATTGCAGAATGTAATTAGGGCGCAACTGAAATTACTAATTGCAACGGGATTGGAGATGATATTTAGAATCTAGAGCCAAAAGAAAGGTTAGGCACATAGCATTATACCTTTTTGTCGTTGCCGTACGTAGCATGGTTTGTGCAGATTAGGGTTGAGAGATTGTATAAAAAATTAAGCTTATATCCACGGCCGTGAATTTATAAGCTCTTCGATCTCTCTCTTTTTTCATGGATGGGCAGCAAAGCAAAGCAAGATCCTCTCTATCTTAGGGAACAACTAGCATGGTGGTATAGGGCTCTAGCTAGCTACAAAATGGGGGAAATTTTGGTGCTACCAGTTTACCATGCATTTGTCTTTTTGCCATTAGAACAGTTTATCATGCATTGATTGATTTAAGTGTTCGATAGAAATTTTGACGAACGAATTGGAGATCAGGAGGTGGGAAAAGCCATGTGTTCTACCTATCTGCTTTCTTTTGGTCTTTGTCGAGCATGCTCGATGGGTGTTAGGTATGGGTTAGTGTCAAAGAAATTTTGCCAAATTCATCTTTCTGAAGATTTGAATGGTTGAAATAGCTTGATTTTGTTGCATATGGTATTAGATTTCGTGTTCAAATTTTTAACCCTCTATTCATGAAAGAAGAGAGGGGGAGAGAAAATTCATAAGGAATGGAAGTTTGTAGAGTAGTGCAATAATGAGAGAAAAATAGCGTTAAATATTTGAAGGAAAAAAATAAGAGAAAAAGAAACACCATAAATAAAGGGACATTTGCTATAATAATTTTTTCATCAAATAATCACTCACTTATATCGTAGCAGAACTCATAAACAGGAGAAAAAGTTCTTGATTCCTACAACTTTTAGACTAGAGAGATGAGTAGCAGCCTGCAAATTGAGAGGTGGAAGAGGTGGAAAAAAAGTAGTCAGAGTTCGCAGGAGTAATCGATTATAAAATGGTTTGAGTACTCAAAAGGGTATAATTAACCAGAACTAGATTCAATGGGAGCTAGATTCAGTAGTTTGGCTGACAGCATTGGTAGTACGACAAAATGGTATGACTCAAACCAAACTAAGAGCTAACTAGCTCGAGTTGACTCATTTCAATTAGGCTCATTTTCTTGTACATTCAACAACGGGCATGCATATGTCATATGTGTTCTGAATATCATCGACAACCAAGATATAACATGGACTTATATTTGAAAGATTAAGGAGCAAATCAAACTATCAATGCTCCTAATTAACCATGTAAATCCACTTGGAGAGTGTGTATCTCGGGATAGAAATAAGTATAAAGTATTAACTCTCTAGGGAAAGGAAGGGGAATCAAGTTGCCCAGTTTGAATAAATTCAAAATTAAGTAATCATCTTATTTTTTCTCTTTATAATAACCAAGGTCGT